TAGGCTACAGGTTGGTCGCCTTGCTGTGACAGACATTATAGATGCTGTCAATGCAACAGTAAAGGCGAGGGAGAAGAAACGCATTGTGTTTGAGGTAGAGGTGCTCGAATGATTTTTTCTGAGTTGGGTGGGCGCTTGTGACGGTAGGGACTTGCTTTTATATTCGCCCCACTCAATTCCATTTTATTTTTCCCATTTTTAGCGAACGAGTGTGTGTTGCCGTGGAGAACAAGCAAATGAGAGAAAATTAAATGATATATTGGACTGCAGGTATGTTGTTCGACGCTGGTCATTGCGGAGTTTCAACAATGCGAATGCGAATGCGGGTAACTTGTCTCCAGTACTTACAATCATCAATGTACCATATGGCACAGCCCGCCGCCCAGGGCATCTTGTGAGTGCATGAGGATTCCATTATACAGATTCAAGGCAGCGCATCATAATCTATGTTTGGAAGGCCGGGCGTGTTCATCAAGCATAGGCACTTGCTCGAACACATCCGGTACTCTTGGATATGTGTTTTCGGTGAGGAATGTCCATGGGAATACATTATCCATGACTATTGCCGTTGGACTTCATACCTTCGAGCCTTCTGGCTATCAATGTGCGCCTCGGCATATCCTAATATCAGCGCGCGTGCTGTGCTTCGAAAACGGTCGACCTCAATTATAACTCATTTTAGTTCTCACTGTCTGTCACTGGTATATTGCAGTGAGTTTCATAACAACCTGCAGTATGAGTGTTTCAAAGCTTGGCACTATGTAGCTCATCTAGCTCTCTCCGACACGTCACATGGCGTGCCTCCATCATCAGCATTCACTGTCAGGGCACATCATCATACATGGTGGCATAGCAGCTGGATCGTGATGACGACGCCGACGTGAATGACGTTCTAGGTCTGAGTATATCCCTCATTTATCTATTCATCCATCCCGGAAGCCAGACTCGGACTCGTCTCGCACTCTTTGCTATCGCTTCAAGGACCGATAGTTGGTTCATCTTTGGAACAAGTTCTCATTCAAAAACGAGCTAGATTTTTGTTCTTGATATATAATGCGGTACGATTAGCGCGTGTTGTCTTGTATTCATAACTATTAACGAGATTGCCTTTGATTCTCTCCCCAAACTCAGGTTCCTATGACAAACAGTTTGCGTTCCTGTTGAAATTGTTGCTTGAAGCTTGTTTTATTCACTACTTACATGATCAAACAGTACGCAAGTACGTCATATATGATACGTTCATATCATGTCCCCCCTTCCACCCAATATCTATCCATTTCCCGATCAACAGCAGCACCAATCGGAAAGCAGAAACTCACCAGGATGTCGCTACCTGCAACTCGGCTTGTTCTCAGGGTGGGACATGGTTGTCGGGAGCCACGCATACACCACCATTGCGGGAATCTCTGCTGTCGCAACAGTCGCTAGGTGTTTGACACACCTCTTGAACTCTACTACTACAGGTTGGTCGCCTTGCTGTGACAGACATTATAGATGCTTTCAATATAACAGTGAAGGCGAGAAGTAATAAACGCGTTGTTTGTTTGAGGTGCTCGAATGATTTCTTTGAGTTGGGTAACGGTAGGAAGATGACTTGCTTTTATATTATCACGAAAAGGTTTCGCAAAATGGCTATACCTGGCGGATGAAAGCCTTGTCTGTAAGTCTGCATCTGGTTTTATTTTCATTCCCGCTGGTAAGCTTCAGGCTTTAGGAACGCTGTCACAGATCCCCTCCGCTGGATAGCACGCCAATTTGTAAACCACTGAGTTCGATTTCTTTTTCTGTCCTCCAGAACTCTATTTATCATAGCATGCTCTCCAGTCTTGAGCTTGAGTGCTCTATTGCTCATCCAGAAGAACAAATGTTCCTCACTCGACCTCGCTTAGGACTTCGCTGTCGTACAATATTTTCGTGTAGTTATGTCTGCCAGTGTAGAAAATAAAGCGAACTACCGGATGTCCCGTTCCTTCTTGGCTTTATCAGTGATCATCACAATACTGTGATGAGATATGGTGCCAGGGAGATAGACCATCGTTAGACAGAATATCCATTTCTCGTCATATGCATGTCCTCCAGACTGTCGAGAAATGCGCGTAACTTGTCGGATCACTTGTCATGGTCTCGCACCTACGTTCCCGGTGGTTGACACCAGGGTGGATGAATTATTTGGACAAATAGTCCCCTCACAGACAAATGGGAAAACAGCTCTTCCCACAAGCCAAGATCGTTCTATTGTGATGCAGGGATTCAATTGAAGCCCATTGAGAATCCTGAAAACAAATATTCATATTGTCGCAACTGCAGGCCCAAGTTGGATACCTGAAACATTAAAGTACATCGATGTCATCATATAAGAACATATACAATCATCCTGGAAAGCAAGCGCACAGGTCGATCACTCAGCCTTCATAACGCTCTCAATGCGTTTCTGTTGAACGCGTCTTTTGAGGTCTGACCATATTGGGTATCCTAACATCATCGTAGAGCCAACATAAGCAGCCTGAATACAAAGTTAAGGTGTGAGGCTCAGAAAGTCGCGAGACAGGCACACCGTTACTATAGCACCCTTAACATATTGCCTGCAAAGTGACCAGGTGTAAAATGTTTCAGCGCCATGGATGGTGCAGAATATTGCGCAAGCGGTCCGGAAGGAAAGACCGAGACCAGTGGCGTTTCTAAACGCGTGCGCTGGGGAGAAGAATGCATTTACGGTGGTGACAGGTACGGAGAGGAATGTAGTATCAGGCGCTGGTGGCGAAAGGAAATAGAAGTATGCGAACAAAAGGATTCCTGTGAATACACTTGTGCGAGGAATCCGAAATGTGGTTATTTGGGGAGCTTTGAGCTGTAGTACATGAACATGTGGCTGTCAGAGACATGACGGGCTGGAAGCAAAGGTTTTAAAAACGCACCATACCAAGACCTTCCTGAGCCTCCGCCTTCATACTCAGAAGCCGTGGTTTGACTTCCTCATACCCCGAAAGTGGCGGGTCAAATGACACCCGGCTGGTATTCGATTGTCCGGATTTGAGTTTATACACAAGCGTCATATCCTGTCCGATTTGTCAACGCTAGCGAGAACAGAACATCCATTTCTCTGGGCCTACCTTGGAGTCAATGCTAGACATCTCAGCAGTGAGCACGTTGCCCTCGACTTTCCCGAAATATTTGACATATGCCACCAATGTATCAGGATGGTTCTTCATGTACATGCATAGAAAGCCAGACTTGGAAGCGACCGGGTCCGACATGATTTCCTGTTGTACAATGAACACTAGAGTTATAAAACAAGCTCACTCAGGCGCCAATTGGAATCGTTCGATGTAGCAATCGGTTGCAATTAACGCTTATGTAATTCTAGTAGGGATCGTACTGAACTATCGTCTCAGACCACGACCTCGCGCAGGACCCTGCGCACAGCGTTATTATACAGGATTTTTACGAATTCGCGCGGCGTGGCATACTTGAATGTTTGGGTAAAGAATAAATTTAACGAGCCAAATCATCTCTTCCGACTCAGAATCCCTGAAGTTGACGAGGTAGTTCGAAATAGCGGCAAGGCGCAGAGGAATTTCCATGTACGTATTCTTTATTCAGCCCCATATCCTACATGACAGAGTTTTCGATTACATAGGCATAGGCCAGCGGCACAAACGTTCAAACCATCAAGCTATCTTCCCGTATATGCTGCATTTTCCAACAAGCAACTTCATTTGAAGGAAGAGTCGCTCATGCTTGGCATGAATAATGCTTGTATACCTATCACACCATCATTCAGTAAGGCCGCAGCACCTTCTACAGTATCATCACGTTCAAATTGTACCTCAGACGCTCATATTAGCTATGAGCTGTCCGATGTTATCGCATATGGCCAGGTTAGCAGGTCTTTGATACTTTAATTTCCAGCATGAGGACCGTCGCGATATCGATCCCGACTCTCTGGACATTGGACATCGAGTAAAAGAGGGTAAAAAGTGGACTTTTGACCTGATAAACTGCACGTCTTGCAGCTAACATGCCTTCGATTTATCGCTGGCGAGCTAGCCTTCGAGGCCAACGTTAGACGAATAAATTCGAGATTTTCTGCGCAGTGTAATCATAAACAACAAAGATCGTTCGTTTCGACAGCCTGTCGAACTCGAGCTTAGTTTACCACGAGCAAGACTAGGGACGGTCAATCATTTTCAGATAAGTTCCAACATCCACATTGCTCGAGTAGTATGAAAATTTGTTCAAAACAACTGTACTGATTGAATCCGAACTAGGTGTTGCACAGGCACCATCAACAATGATACTGCCAAAGCGAAAGCAGAAACACGGCTCACTGCATTGTTGCGACGTGCTGCTCGGGCTGCCAGCTCAAATTTCAACCTATGCACAGTGCATACCATCCATCTAAGGTGCGCAAGTGAGTCATGTAGTTGAATCTTGGTTACACAACGACCTGCTCAGACTCACCTGATTTCCTATACAAGTCCAGGTTGGGCAGCAGTCTGCAGTTGTGTTGCAAAGCAACATGCTACATGCACTGACAGACATAGATGCTATCAAAGCGACAACAGCCAGGGAGAAGAAACGCATTTTACGTGTGAGGTGATTTGGACTTTTCTGAGGGGGATCTCTGAGGATAGGGTAATAATATAGGATGACAGCTGGCTTTTATATCGTGCACATACTTCGGGCACGATTTGGCACGATTTGTTATTGCTAACAGCAGAAATTTCGGTAGAACCTGCAGAAGCGTGTTGAAATGATTTCGAACATTGTATCACAACCTGCCTTTACCGTAGAATCCTATTGTGTTAATGGGGTGTACTAGTTCACAATTATAATAATGCAGATTCAGACTGCAGGTGCTTTCGCCTTCCGATTCCTCCCGCGGCTGTTTCGTTGGCATTACCGATTTCAACGTTTCAGCCGCCGTCTCTTTCAAGTTGTGCCCATTCTAAGTTGGAAATTCAAATCTCTCCCCTTATGTTATTTGCGTGCTACTACATAGTAAAGGACAACTATTCTAAGTGAACCGGTGACCGTCAACCATTCCCGTCCCACTGCTCGTCACCTACCCCATCAACGATTTCTTTCGCATCATCGCGCAACTTGAACCACCTCCCAGACCCAAAACGCGAAGGAGTAGATGTCGTGGAGTCGATGGAAAGACAAGCAAAGTGAGACACACCAACCTTTGAAGGAATTGAGTCGCTCATGCTTGGTATGAACAATGCTTGTAACCCATAATCCCGTCATGATCATTCAGGAGTCTGCAGTGCCTGCAGTTCGAACAGTACATCTTCTACAGTATTATAATGTTCAAATTTGACCTCAGATACTCATCTTAGCTGTGAGCTGTCCAATGTTAGCGCGTATGGCCAGATTAGCACCTCTTTGATATTGAAATTGCTAGCACGAGGACGGTCATTATATCGACCCCGACTCTCTGGACGTTGAGTGAACGAGTAAAAGTGGGTGAAAAACGTTTTGTAGCTAATACGCCTTTGATCTACCGCTGACAGGTCCAACCCATGGTGCTCTGTTTACCCCAAACCCAACAGCACGCAGATACCTCGTACACTACACTTATATCATGTCCCCCTTCCACTCAATATCGCCTCCATTTATTTCTCAATCAGCGGCATCCTACGTACTGTTCAATCAACAACAACACCAATGGCAAAGTGGAAACACTTACTAAGGTGTCTCCATGTATAAATCGGTTTGCTCTAAGGTGAGATGCCCTAGTCGGGAGTGATGCATATACCGCCACCGCAGAGAGCTAATTTATCGCAGCAGTTACTATTCTGTACGCAAGGCTCGTCACGTCCACTACAGAGTGGTGACCTTGCTGTGACAGACATTGCTGTCAACGCAACAATAAAGGTGAGGAAGAAGAAACGCATTTTTGTTTGAGATAGTATGATCTGCTGAGGGCTCGAATGATGTTTTCGAGGTGGGTGGATGCTGGTGACGGTAGGAAAATGTCTGTCTTTTATTAGCCCCACTCAATTACGTTTTATTTTCCCCATTTCTTTAGCGAACGAGTGTATATTGCGGTGGGGAATAAGCAAGCGAGAGAACATAAAATGATATATTGTCGTTCGACGCTTCCCATCGCGGAGTCTCCACAATGCGGGTGCGGGGATGTTACTTACAGTTTTTCCAACCGGTTGTGCCAAACTGGTTACGCCCGATGTCGCACGCATAGTCTTCATGCCAGTTGCAACCCCGCAAAACTGAACCCAAGTAGTTGTACGGTAGTACCCCCTACATTATCTCCAGTACAATCCTCAATACATTATACGTCATGTCTCGGATGCTGGTCACTGAAGTATCACCACTAATGTCCACCGGAATTCGTCATATGTGCATGACTATTGGGTTTAGACTTCGAGCTTTCGACTCCTGCGTCGTTTGACGTGCCGCCTCGGCACATTTTAATCTCAGCGCGCGCTGCTGTGTGTCAGAACGACCTCAATTAGATCTCATTCCATTTCTCTCATTATCAAAGTCTATCACTCGTGTATTACTCGTAAAAATGAAATGGAATAGAGTGGGGCTCTGTGAAGCTATTATCATTTAAGGTTCGTAGCCATTTCGACACGGCTGCCTCGGTCACCGTGCGAGCTCGAGTGATGCACAACGTGGCTCAAAGTGCCACGTCAAACCAAATATTGAAGTTGCTGATTTGTATCACAGGTCTCCACCGCCTTGCCGAGCTCCAACTAGACGGTTAAACGAGACTGGTACAGAAAATAGTATGAGTAACTGTATGTCTTGTCGAGTGAACGGACAAAAAACGGTGAAAAGTGGGCTTTTGACCTGATTAAACTGCACGTCTTTCAGCTGACGTGCATTTGATTATGGTTGGCTGGTCAATGAACCGTGACATTATTTACCCCAAGATCAAACAGTACGCGGATACCTCATACGCTCATATCACGTACTCCTTCCAGCTAATATCGGCTCTATTCATTTCTCAATCAGCAGTGTTCTACGTATTGCTCGATCAACAACAGCACTAATGAGAATGCAGAAACACTCACTAGTGTGTCACTATGTGAAAATCGGCTGGTTCTCAGGGTGGGGGCTCGTCGGACGGTACGCACACGCTACCATCGCAAGAAGCTTGGCTATCGCAACAGTCACTGGCCTTTTTGCACCTATCCTGATTTGCGCTACAGGTTGGTCGCCTTGCTGCGACAGACATTATAGATGCTGTCAATGCAACAGTAAAGGCGAGGAAGAAGAAACGCATTGTTTGTTTGAGGTAGAGGTGCTCGAATGATTTTTTTGAGTGGGGTGGACGCTGGTGGTAGGACTTGCTTTTATATTATCACGAAAAGTTTCTGCAAAATGGTTATACCTGGCGGATGATACTGCCGCCGGCTGCAGAACGTGTCCCTTCAGATCATTTTGTGGGTATATCGACTTTGGCACAGTTCTGCCTCACTCGTAATGCACCAGTGCCACGTCAAAGCCGTTGACGGCTTACTAGTTACTGCGCCATTGCTGTAATAATCAATAGTATCATTACAAAACGGTATTTAAACGCTGATGCAACGTGTTTGGAAGTTTGGCCAATCCGCCAAGTGCCAGTTGTGCCAGCACTTAATCAAAACTCAGCCTAGGCTAAAAGTATTAGTTTTGCTCCCCACACTCACTATAACAACTTACCTAGCCGGCCTGCAATATTAATTCCTATCTCCGTGCGATTTAAGAACCACGAGATGCTTCAGGCATGGCTGTGCCTCTGCTGTCGTGCAGACTGTGTGCTATGTTAACATCAAACCATGAGTTTTATCAACCTTTTGTCGTGTGCTGCTTAGAAGAGTTAAAGTACCGCTCGGAAGGGTCCGGCAACTGCATTTCCAATTTACAATGGCCTACGCTTTATAATTCATTATGTGCATTGTGCAGTCTCTAAGCTATTATTTTCAACCAATTCATGATACTAATCAATCGCATGCACTGTGCAGTACAGATATGGTTCGTCGAGTATTACTCGCAGTGGCAAGCACAATCGACGTGGATGGGCAAGAGCCTCAGACACCAGCGCCTACAGATAATCCTGATTCGAATAGCAAGAAGTGGGTCGATCGAGGGCACAGTGAGATGGAGAAGGGATGAGTGTACGCACAGGCATATTCGTCTTCAGGCCACACAATCGCATAGGGCCACGGGTGGAACACAATTTGCATTTGTCAACACGAAAACAAACGAACTCGTCAGCGCCCAGTCAAGACTACTCTGACGGTGGTTGTTGGTATAGTCATTGGATAGCACAAGACTTTACTGTGCCATCAGACAAATTCGCACGTATTTTCGACAGTCGCTTTGAGCTCGCCCATCCACTGTATTTCGTCGCACTTTTACCCAGACGACCCTGTGCTTCCTTGGAGGCGATGAACAGGGTTGACGAAGCTACTATCAAGGTACCATCGCTCTTGCAAGTTCCTCTTCCTCGTCAGCTGTGTCTTTGTCGCTTGCACCTCGTCCAACACTTGTTCGATGAAGAGAATCACTCTCGAGCTCCGCACGGTGGAGAGTACCGCATACGCAAATATCCATCTTCTTTATCTTTATCTTTGTCGCCCCCTTTTTCACTTTCATCTTAACGCGCGCTCCAATATGACTCTGGGCTTCAACTACATACCAGAAAATAACACGTCAGTCACGAATCACGATCGGCAACGAAGTGACGTCTCGTTGGCTCCATCACACGCGTATAGAGAGATCTGTTAGCCAACATTCGAGGCCAACGTTGAACGAACAGATTCGAGGTTGTGAGGAAATGTCTGCGACTCTGCGCAGTGCGTTTTATCTTCGTTCGACTTCCCAATATTAATCATCAACAGTAATGATCGCTCGTTTTTACAGCCTCGAACTCAAGCTTAGTGGGCTACGAGGAAAATCAGGCACGATTGATCATTTTCAGACAGGTTCAAACATCCATTGCTTGAGCAGCACAAAATTTTGTTCGAGAACGACTGTATGATTGGCTCCTAACTAGGTCTTGCTCTGTTAACTATGATGCCAAAGCGAAAGCAGAAACATGACTCACTGTCGCGACATGCCGCTCAGGCTGCTGGCTCAATTTGCTTGAAACATGCAGGCCATGGCCGTTGAATCCTAAGGCGCGCAGGTGAGTCATGTGGTTGAATCCTGGTTGCATAGCGACTTGCTCATACTCACAATAATATTAGGTTCTTGCATCTGTTGTACAATCTATTATACTACATGCACTGACAGACATAGATGTTGTCAAAGCAACAAAAACGGCGAGGACAGAGAAACGCATTTTGTGTACGAGGTGATATGGAATCTTCTGAGGGGGATCTCGAATAATATTTCCGAGGGTGGGGGAACACTATAGGACGACAACCAGCTTTTATATCTTTATAGGTGCGACTCTGATCGATTTAGCAGAGTCGTCAGATGGCAAAATCTGGGCTGCTGGGATTCATATCGTGTGAGGGGTATAGTCCATGCTATGTGAGTTCTGCCGCATAAATTACTGATTTGAAGCGTCTCTGAATGCGTCTCTTCACAGCCTCCAGTCTTTGCAAATACAATTTCTCCACTTAAGCTATTTGCGTGTCGCCAGTTAAGAATAATCGTTTCATTCTGTGACCTGGCATCCGCTGCTTCATTTCTGCTGGCCGTGTTTGTTGCGGACGTGGTACGGCTGTTGCACTACTAGCTTCTCTAAAGATTGATCTTTGTACTCAGTTTGCACTTATGGCTAGCTTCGCTGATTGAATTGAGACTGAAGGCGGCCCGAGTCGTGTTACTGATGTAACCTTTGTAAGGCTTACACGACACCGACACGGTGAAGCTTGATGCGGAATGATACGGGTGGATGGGACGCACACGACATGGGCGAGACTTGACGTGCAATTAATGGTGGTATGTGTGTCACAACAACCGGATAGTTAACGCTGACTGAACGTTGAACCACCGCTAGTGCGATCAAAGACGAGTACAGAAGGAAGCGTACTGCAAGGTGTTATATCCACTGGGATGGACTCGGCATATAATCAAGAAGAGCTTTACTAAATGATCGTTTCTTTAGGTTTAGACAACACATTTGAAATTTGAGCAGGCATTGACAATTCTCTTCACCAATGCTCGCTCGAATTCCCGGTCTCTCGTACTCATGTGTCACTTATCGCAAACCCTCAGTTCGCCTTGGTCCCTGCGCATCGACGAGGTTGAGAAATATAACGCACTCTCCATGACCTTGGGCTGTGAAATTTGATTAATCGATTTCCCATCAGAAAATAACACATCTGCCACGGATTACGAATCACGATTGGCAACGAATTGGCGTATCGTTGTCTCCATCACACCAGAGAGAGAGAGATTCACGAGCTAGCCTTTGATACCGACGTTAGACAAACAGATTCGAGATCGTCTGCGCAGTGTAAACATCAACAGCAACGATTGCTCGTTTCGACAGCCTCTCGAACTCAAGCTTAGTGGACCGCGAGCAAGACTAGGGACGGCCGGTCATTGTCAGATAAGTTCAAACATCCGCATTGCTCGAGTAGTATGAAAATTTGTCCAAAACGACTGTACTGATTGAATCCGAACTAGGTGTTGCACCATCAATCATGATGCTGCTAAAGCGAAGGCAGAAAAACGGCTCACTGCACTGTTGCGACGTGCTGCTCTGGCTGCCAGCTCAATTTTCAACCTACGCGCAGTACATACCATCAATCTAAGGTGTGCAGGTGAGTCATGTGGTTGAATCCTGGTTACACAGCGACCTGCTCAGACTCACCTCATCTCCTACACAAGTCCAGGTTGGGCAGCAATCTTCAGTTGTTTTGCAAAGCAACATGCTACATGCACTGACAGACATAGATGCTGTCAAAGCAACAACAACGGCCAGGAAAGAGAAACGCATTTTATGTGCGAGGTGATTTGGAATCTTCTGAGGGGGATCTCGAATGGTATCTCGGAGGATAGGGTAAGAGTATAGGACTCGGATGACAGCTGGCTTTTATATCGTGCACATACTTGTGGGTACGATTTAGCAGAATTTGAAATTGCTGACAGACAGAAATTTCGGGAGCGTGTTGAATTGATTACTTACAACCTAAAATTCTATTGTGTTAGCGGGGTGTAGTTCATAATTACCAGGTGCTAAGCGCTAAGCCTGGGATATATTTCCCCTTCCGGTTTCTCCCGTGACACAGAGACACTTTGGGAATTATTGACTTCAACCTCTTTGCAACGCCCCAGACTCCAGTCTTGGTAATTTTCAAATTTCTCCCCTTATGCTATTTGCGTGCTGCTACATAGTAAAGAACAACTATTCTGAGTGAACCGGTGACCGTCAACCATTCCCGTCCCACTGCTCGTCATCTACCCCATCAACTATGTCTTTCGCATCATCGTGCAACTTGAACCACCTCCCAGACCCAAACCGCGAAGGAGTAGATGTTGTGGAGTTGATGGAAAGATGAGAAAAGTGAGACACTCCACCAACCTTTGAAGGAATTGAGTCGTTCATGCTTGGTATGAACAATGCTTGTAACCCATAATCTAATCATGATCATTCAGTGAGTCTGCAGCGCCTGCAGTTCGAACAGTACATTTTCTACAGTATCATAATGTTCAAATTTACCTCAGATGCTCATCTTAGCTGTGAGCTGTCCAATGTCGGCGCATACTATGGCCAGGTTAGCACCTCTTTGATACTGAATTTGCCAGCACGAGGACTGTCACTTTATGGACCCCAACTCTCTCTGGACGTTGAGTCAACAAAAAAAGTAGACTTTTGATCTGATCAAACTGCCCGTCTGTTAGCTAACACGTCTTTGATCTATCGCTGGCAGGTCCGACCCATGGTGCTCTGTTTACTCCAACCCAGATACCTCGTACACTCATATCATGACCTCCTTCCACTCAACATCGCCTCTATCTGTTTCTCGATCAGCAGTGTCCTACAATTTACAAATTGTTCAATCAACACCAATGGCCAAGTGGAAACACTCACTAGTGTGTCACTACGTGCAAATCGGCTTGCAAGGGTTGGATATCCTAGGTGATGCATATACCCCCAGCACAAAGAGCGAATTTATCGCAGCAGTCACTAACGGCTTCGCAAGGCTGGTCACGTTGGCTACAGATTGGCCCCCTTACTGCGACACACATTGTAGATGACGTCAATGCAACGATAAATGTGAGGAAGAAGAAACGCATTGTTCGTTTGAGGGGATATGATCTGCTGAGGGCTTGAATAATGTCTTTGAGGTGGATGGACGCTGATGATGGTAGGGATTTTATATTATCACGAAAACGTTTAGCGAAATGGTTGTGATGCACTCGTGGTGCGGCTGTGACGAGGCAAAATGCCACGTCGAGCCAGATCAATCGATGATTTATCTGTTGCAATACCGGACGTTGATGGTTTGTGCTGATATGATTTTATATCTGAAGGTCGGGCTATATCGACTCGAAGCCATATTTTATATCACAGGTCTTGACTGTCTTGTGAGTTTCAACTACACAGTTAAACGATACTGACAGAAAAAAGTATGAGCAACTGCATGTCTTCAATCTTGTCGAGACTCGAGTGGATGAATAAAAGCGGTGAAAAAATGAACTTTTGACTCAATCAAACTGCGCGTCTTTTAAAACACGCATTTGATTTATCGCTGGCCAGTCTGACCTGTGATGTTATATTTACGCCAAGACCAAGCAGTGCGCAGATACCCCATACATGTACTCCTTTCACCCAGTATCACCTCTATTCATTTCTCAATCAGCAGCGTTCTACATATTGCTCGATCAACAACAGCGCCAATATGAATGCGGGAACACTCACTAGTGTGTCGCTACGGCGGGTGGGGAGGCTCGCTGCAAGCTCGCACACGCCACCCGGATTGCAGGTATCATTGCTCTCGCAACAGTTACTATCCGTTACGATGCCAGGCCGGAGGCCCGGAGCACGCCCCCTCGCATCGCTGTTTCAACCAATTCTAAAATTCACCTACTCAAGGTGTATCATGACGACACTGTCAATTGTAAGGCATGCAGGCTAAATAATGTAATCCCGGGCCTTGGCCTCCACAATATCCTGTGGGTATGATATATCAGTTGTTTTGATCAACACCTGACCATGTTATATCAGTGCCGTTGGCTTACCACGAGCCACCACAAGCAATATATCGCAATGTATGATATATCATCATGTACCAGTACTACATCACCCATTATACCACTGTCCGCTTATAGACACGATCACGATCTTGCAGCTTGATCGAGACTGTCTTCGTTTCACAATTGTACCTAGGCGATCAGAGAATCGAAGATCTCATTGCAAATAGAAACATAGCGATAGTATGTTACCAGGATGGAACATATAAGCTTAAAATGGGAAGCTAACCTTCGCCGCAGTGAAGCCTGGTGATGTGCATATGCAACCGCGCCTTCCGCAGCCTCGGGTGACCCGAAAGTACGCCGTGACTCTGTAGCACAATCCAACCCGCTGATGATTATTAGGTTAGAGCTTGACTGAGTCGTACTTGTATTTCCGATTTCAACAACAATCAATGAAGTCTGAGGAAAGTTGCCATACTCTGCTACAGCGATATAATGAAACTACGTATTTGTATGTGGAACAAACTTGGTCCAAAATGCTGTGTGGTATGCACCAGGAGGTAGTGATCGTAATGCTCAGCACCACAAGTACAATTATTAACAAAAAAACCATGATACTAAAACGAAAAGAAACAATGACCCACTGTTGCGACTGCTGCTCGGGCTGCCGGCGTACTCTGCTACGGCGATGTAATGAAACTACACACCTACATGTGGAATAAACTTGGTCCAAGCTATTGTATCGTATACACCCTGAGGTAGCGATCGTAAACTCAGCATGATAAGTGAAATTACTGTAAGACGTGCAAGAACGTATATCACGCCAAGAATTCCAATAATCATCATGAGATTAGCTGAAAGGAAATATAGGGCTTTACCTGATAATCCATTGTAGTCCGATGGCTGCACATCCAAATACCAGAGGGACCACATCGTTAACGACAAACATGCTTTCCCAACGAAAGACACATGCCACAATATCTGCTCCGTGTGGCTCGGAAACACAAAATTCCAGCCCAGGGTATGCAACGTTGCAAACAACACTCCACTGACACCTCCAGCGAGGAATATGGTCATACTCCGAACCGAGGTATTAGACCGTCGAACTTTGCGATTAAATAGTACAGACAGAAGCATTGGGGTACGTCGTTTGCTAGAATACAAGCCAATCAGAACAAGTTCTGCAAGGAATAGTGATTACAATGTACTCGTTGGCCAAGCACTCGCGTGGTGGGGGGAGATTCGAGTTCCAATGAACAATATGAGGACGCTGTACGTCCTTCGGCTTCCGCCACCATATTAAGCCATAGGTATTGATGGTTAGACAAACTACAGCCAGAGTGTCGAGTTCAAGCAATGTGGTGGGGAGGTGCTGGGCGTAACGGGCGATGATCTGGATGAAGAACCATCCTAGCTGAAGAATGGTGATACATCTGGACAGCACATCACCCTTACTTCGGTCTTCTATGTCTGCTTTCGTGATGCCGGGCATCTCCACAGATCCCTCGCAAACAAACTGGAGGAGTTCATCGGGTGTGAGAGTGGCCCACGGTTTACCATCGACGTAGAGCAGGAATACACCCATCCCGGCGAAGAACCCATGTGTCTCTGTCCACCCTGTCAAGGCATCAGTTTCATGCTAATTTCTGTCTGACTGAAGAGTTCGAGTAACAGACCTGCGCTTGAACTTTCGTTTGAATTTGAGATGGCACGAGGTAACACAACTGCCGGGCTGCTCTGCGGTACGGCTTCACAGTCGCCGTTGGGCTGGGCGCGTTGCGCAAAAAGAACATCATTGAAGTCCTTGGCAACTTGACGAGCACATATAAGTTGCCATGCGGCCCAGGCGGTCATGAGTTCGGGGGCGAAATACGCAACAAATATGAGGAGTAGACGGCGAACAGTGACAATAACTACCCCCTCACCCATACGTGGAATGTCCGGAGAGACGGCAGTCCATGTGCATGCAAACAAGGTTAAGCCACAGTTCGATATAATGGCCCACAAGGTTCTAGCATCAGTGGAGGGTTGCCAGTTAGTGGGAAAGAGTGGAAGGATACAGGTATCGTTGAGACCCGGGAGTGAAGCACGAACAAACGGAACGCCGAAGAGGACAGCGCAAAGTAAGAGGATCATCATGAAGTTGAGGGCATATCGTCTGATCATTCTCTCTTTTGATGGATGCAGCCGCATTGTATCAATCTATCCATGATAGGGTAGGTTCATGCGTTAACTCATTAAACGTAACGGCGACGCGAGTTAACGTTAGACGCTGGACCACGCGAGTTGGATGCTAGACTGCGCAAGCTGAAGCATGGTGATGAGCCGTTGAGTGTGTTAGCCTTGCCGAAGTAAATCGGCTCCCAACAGGGTGGGAAACACGAGTCCCTGAACACATCAATTACATCAGTGGTGATCAGAAGACCTCAACCACCGCTCGGTAAGCATATTTCCTCATCATTCTCTCACCGCCCTCGCGCAGACCTACTTTGCGCTGTCTTGCCAGGTTTGCGCCACTCTCTCAAACATCCCCACCTGACCAGTACTTGATATTGTCATCCCCGACTTCAACTCCCATAGTGCTATCAGCTCTGACGAAAATCGCCGCTGCTCAAGCCCTGCAGCATATACCAATTTGGCTTTCTAGGCACTAAGCTCGCTGCTTACCTGAGTTCCCATATTAGCATAAACACTGTCCGCGATAATCAAAGTGTGCTTTGATTATCACTGCCTTTTGGCGTACTGTTAAGAGACGACAGTCTTAACTACTTACAACTTGAGCTGATCTATCTCGGAATGCTAACAGGTCACACATCACTCGATGCCGTTCGACCTTTACTATCTCTGCCTCGCGTAACAGGCATGATGATGGGCTCCTCAGGGTCTTGCATAGGTTTGAAGGATCCGAGTAATTTGATGTGGTACTTTGTAAGCGCGTATGTTTATATCGGTCGGACAGTACTCAGTTTTTTAAAGTTTCTCCAAACCCTGCACATGCCACATGCACACATTGAATTGCGAAGTCCAATCACCTTCACGACATTCACAACGAAAAGATCCCAGACTCTACCCGACATGTTCGCTTCAGTTCAGTGTTGCAGTCGACCCCAACATCCTCACTCCTTGCATGTTTCCCTTCCTTTGGTCCTTTGTCGACTCGATCTTCTCTTCATTTGCTTCTCGCATTTTTAGCGTATTGGCTCCCCTGTGTTGATACTTTGTAACCCGATCTTATGAAGGCTGATATATTTATGGTTAGGACTCGGAATATTTGTTTGTATGAACGCCACATCAGCCGTTTACATATATAAATGCCGACTCATGATCATCTTCGTTGGTTCAACCGCCTGTGTATCATTCATTTCAAGCAAAAATTGATATGATCAAGCAGGAAACTCGAGGCGAGTCCCGTAGCGTGTTATTTTCTATTAAGTATATGCCCGATCATATAGGAGCGCGCGTCATGACAGTATCTGTTCTTCACGCTTCAATTAATAGAAAATAGTAGGCTCGTGACCAGCCTGTTATAGGACTTACAGCAGTCACTCAAAGTAAGATTGACGAAATCAAAGGAGTCCCTGAAGTTCTTGCTATTAAATATTAAGATTCAAGCTCTCGTCATCTGAATTCGCTTTACTTCGTTTCTCTCTAACGAGAATTTGAAATTTACATGTAACATGGTAGTAAATACAATAATAGTACAAGATACTACACGTGCATTAGGATCAAACCTGCACCTACATCACCATCGCATTCAAAGTTTAATTTGTCATGCCAGCTGCAGCCCCGTTATCTTCGCTCCGCCCTCGTGTCGTGTCGGATCATGGAGCTCCCTGATGTAGTTATGTTTCATTTCCTCCAGCTTACATTTTGTGGCCGAGGTTTACGTGGACAGTCTTCACTGCAGTGTAACTGAGAGCACATGAGTTTGTGCTAATATATCATTGACGCAACACTCACTTGGTTAGGGCGTAGTCGCCACACTCACGACCGATACCGCTCTGCTTGATACCGCCAAATGGTACACTGGAGTTGATCGAGTCAACGCAGTTGATCCATGCAGTTCCAGCTTTGAGTCTGTGTGCCGTGTTGAGGGCACGGTTCAGGTCCTGGGTGAAAACAGCAGCAGCAAGACCGTAAAGCGTGTCATTTGCCTGCTTGGTCGCATATTGAACTCGATGAGAACACAAACAGGACTGAAAATATCCTCTTGGACGATCTTCATCGATGGGTCGACATTGGTGAAGATGGTGGGTTTGATGAAGTAGCCCTCGCTTCCATGGCGCTCACCACCGATTTCAACCTTGGCACCAGCCGCCTTTCCGGACTCATTGTAAGACATGATACGCTGGATCGTGCGTTAGACAGATGAATGGTTTCGAAAGCATTGCACGACATACGTTGAATTGAATCTCTGAGACCTGAGGACCCTGGAAAGTGTCAGGTGCAAATGGGTCACCGATCTTGAGCGACTGAGTGAAACGCTTGAAGAATTCGTCATGACTCATAGATGCCTTCTTGCACGAAGATACGCGAATCTGTGGTACACGTCTGACCGTGGTTCCAGCTGGTGAAATATAAGTGTAGTTTGTATGACAGCACGTTATACTCACAAGATGCCGAATACAGACAGCTTGTTCGATGTCTGCATCGTCAAAGATGATGTTTGGACTCTTTCCGCCGAGCTCAAGGGTGACGTTCTTGAGGTTGCTCCTCGCAGCAGCCTCCATGATCTTGCGACCAACAAGGGTTGAGCCAGCGAAGGCGACTTTCTCTATTCTCATATGTGAAGAGATGGCATTACCGGTAGTGTTTCCATAACCAGTGATGACGTTGACTACTCCAGGCGGGAAGCCAGCCTCGTTGATAAGGTGGCACATTCGGATGGTGGTCAGGGGTGTAAATTCTGAAGGTTTTAGAACCACCGTGTTGCCGCATGCGAGAGCAGGACCGATTTTCCAGGCCATCATGAGTACTGCAAAGCAAAGAGTGAGTGCACGGCTCTTCAAACGGCTGATGTACACGCACATGGGAAATTCCATAGGATGATTTGACCCTATTACACGAGTATAAGAGTAAGATCTGGGAGCTGAGATGAGTATGCTTACAACGACACCGATGGGCTCGTGGCGACTGTAGGTGAGCTTGTCTTCGCATAATCCCGGATGAAATGGGCGCACTCTAGGGTCTGCTGAGATATCTGTCCCAAGATGTCCCTCATGAGGAGCATGTCGTCTTGCATTATGAAGCCATACACTTGACCCAACTCCTTGTAGAGGTCAAGTGTCGCTTCGTGACGATCCGCTTGAGCGAAAATCATCTGCATGCAGAACATGTGGGCGGGAAATACGAAAGACGGCAAGAAAGAGGTACTTTTGATGCGCAAGAAAGCACGCCCAATGCCATCTTTGCATACGGATGCACCTGCAGAACATTGTTAGTCTAGTTCTAAAGAGGAAGAGAAAGAACATACCTCTGCTATCGTCCCGATCACAGTATCGAATATCTTGAGGGGTTGAAGATAAGTGGTCCCTATGCTGTCTATGTTATCGAGCGCTGCTGGTCCATTTTTGCCTGCAGATAACACAGGTCTCGCACGTCCCCAAATTTGGTTCATCTGATCTGCACCGTGACCGGCATCCTGAAGTGCCTTGTTCACAGATTGGGGATCGGCGCCTTGTTGCACAACAGCAGAAGTATCCTGAGCCTGGTGTAGCCAGTAGAAGTTAGAGAGAGAGCAGATATCGGAATGTCACCTACCTGAACGGGGTCGCGACTGCGTGAATCGTTGAACTTTGAGCACTTGTGTAAGATATCAGCCTTATCCCCGGACTGAGTATTGATTTCGACTTACAGAAATTTTTTTGACAACACCATTCTTAACCTTGCCCAGCAAGCGACAGATTTTGCCACGGGGTCGGCCCTAGAGAAAGGATAAATTGTCATTGAGTTTTAACTTCATGAATATCAACCACTTACCCGGCGCTCCGTAGTATTTGTGTCGTTGGGTGTCTCAATGTCTAGAGGAGGAACTGACCTGGACTCGGGGTTCCCCAATTGACTGGGGTTGTTCATGGTGAATAGTTGAGGTTAATGCAAATGGTCCAAGTAGTGTAAGACAAGAAGTTGGAGAATTAGGGTGCGCGCGGCCTCGAGGCAATGTTTGCTGCTATGTTAACTTCAGGCGTAAACATTGGGTGCGCGCCACAGAACTCCAGGACTCGGAAACGCAAGGAAGAATATTTGAATCGAAGATTTGTTGATCGGGCTATATATAGCCACATCGAGACATGAACGCAAAGTTGAGAATAAAAAAAGAACAGCGCCGTATACTTCCGTATTACATAATAATATTGTGATCTTAAACTCATCCTAGTGCTAGTGAATATTGACTTCAACCGTCTCTGACGAGCTCACGCCCGTTGTGCCTTCGGCACAAATCGAAGGAGCGCTACGCGCTCCTTCAGGGGAGGAAAATGAGTGTTGTTCCTTCGTCACGGGAAGCCAAGGAGGGCTACACCCTCCTTTGGCTTCCTGGCCTCAGGCTGCATCCTAATAAATTGTGCATTTTGGATAATTTTGAAAATACATTTATGAGCAGTTCAAAAAACTAAAAGTACAATCTACCACCACATAAAGTACATAGTACATAGTAAGATCAGTCAGTTCTACATTCTTTGAGCAGGATTCTGACAAAATTACAAAATATATAACAGTATCTGTTACAAGTAACATCGGTCACATGGCCCCCCTATCATTTTCCCTTCATCCTCGCCCTCACCATCTACCGGCTCGTCCTCCTTTACCGACTTTCCGTTGACCAGATCCTCGGGACCGTTCCCATCCCTCGCATCGCCTGCCTCTATGCACATGCACGCACGTTCCTCCCTTGATTCGACCACCAATGTGGTCCCGCACCTATGACTCGGTCTGACTCGTGCCACCAATGTGGCTTTCCTCTTTCTGTTCCCTCTGACTGCGGATTCCCGCACGCTGTATTCTTACCGTTGGTTCGTTCCAACGTTTCTCGGTCTCATTCCACATTCGACCACCCATCACTAATCCGGCCATGTTGCCAACGCACCTATACCATTCTCGTTTCCCCTTTACCCTTACCTACTGTGCGGTAGCCTTGCCCTTAATCCTCTCCACTTAGTATAAGTAGTCGGTCACCCTGTACTAGATTCTCTAACTTGAATCTACTCAATCTTCCCTGGAACATACTCCTCTCTGAAGCCCCCTCAGCTTCAGTCTCTAGTATCTTTTCTTAGTTGCTCATTGCGACTAAGTCTACCTCGATCGACCTCATCATACGGACAAGACAGTCCTTACCTTGAGTGACTTCACAGACATCCGTCTACGAAGTCACGTGACACGCACGTACTGTGATCGCTGCTGACTCGTCGTCGCCAGTCTCACTTGCTATACCGGATCCTTCCGGTTACGTCATGAACGTTAGTGGACGACGCCCCTCTTAGGGCTCCGCCTAACAGATCTATTTGAGTGCGTAACAGTATCATTGAATGTATTGATTTTCCCATCTTTGCCTGTCGGAAAAAAGTTCCCAGGGTTTTAAGGCCTTGCAAGACATTTTAATGCTCTATTTGGAGGGTGTCGTTATAAGGGCTTTTAAATGGGTAAGATAATATTTTAATGCCCATTAAAAGGCACTTATAAGGGCCCTTTTGATGACCTTATGTTGAGTTTTGCCTCGCTGTGCCTCAGAACGGCCCATTAAAATGCCTTGTACTGTATCCATTCGACCTTAGGTTCGTGGGGGTCCTGATGTGACATGACATAATGGTAGGTTCACATGTTCGTCTGGCTGAGGGTGGTGTGACAGAAGTATTAATAGGTTTGTATTTACATGTTTTTTCTACATAATACACACATGCAATGAAATGTAATGCAAAGAGGTAACTGTTTCAATATTCAAGGTAAAAGAGGTAGAAAGTAAGTAGAAAAACATGGTAAAATTATAATTTATGCCACCACCCATGAACAAAATGTCACACATTTAGGTTCGCTACCCTCAATTTGGTGTGACTGTCACATGAAATAAGTTCAGTTCGGGGGCTCGGCGACGCTGTGACGAACCTAAGGTCAAATGGATACAGTAAGGTCCTCTTAAGGTGCTGAGCTGGACTTGTAATCCGGCAGTATTACAATGGTACCTAACTTTTTTCCGACACCTACCCATCTCCCAATTGTCTCCTACATCCTCCCGTCTCCCGTCTCCCGTCTCCCGTCTCCCGTCTCCCGTCTCCCGTCTCCCGTCTCCCGTCTCCCGTCTCCCGTCTCCCGTCTCCCGTCTCCCGTCTCCCGTCTCCCGTCTCCCGTCTCCCGTCTCCCGTCTCTATGTGCTCCCATTCTCCCATTTTTGAGTCCACATTGTCTTCAGTGTCTCCTTTGATTTTGATTTTTTCACAACCTTCTGTCATTCATCTCTTGTCACCATATATTTGTTTTCCCCCTGTCTGTAATTGTATTATACATTGTTTCATTATTTGATGTATGTATACAGATACTACCATAACAATTACAGTAGGGAAAAACTCATCTGCCTTCCCCTGCTCAAAGACATCTTTTTAATCATTTAATGCCATGTACATATACAGTTACCAACATCATGCTAAGTTCCCAACTGGCGACGCTATTTGAGTTGGCGCTCGAAAACACGTGACAAAGCCACGTGAGAAAACCACACGAGATTCCCAAAAACAGGTTTAAGCGAGGTAAGCAAAATACGCGAAATACGCGAGTGCCCGTGCATTTCCGAAAACCATCGTACTTTACTTCTTAGATTCCGTCTCTTTGCAATGCCCCACTCTTTGTCATTTCAAATTTTTCCCTTCATGCTATTTGTGTGCTGCTACATAGTAAAGAACAACTATTCTAAGTGAATCGTCGACCATTCCCGTCCCACTGCTCGTCACCTACCCCATCAACGATTTCTTTCGCATCATCGCGCAACCACCTTCCAGGCTCAAACTGCGAAGAAGTAGATTTCGTGGAGTTGGTGGAAAGATGAGAAAAGTGAGACACACCACCAACCTTTGAAGGAATTGAATCGCTCATGCTTGGTATGAACAATGCTTGTAACCCATAATCCTATCATGATCATTCAGTGAGTCTGCAGTGCGTGCAGTTCGAACAATACATCTTCTACAGTATCATTATATTTAAACTTGACCTCAGATGCTCATCTTAGCTGTGAGCTGTCCAATGTTAACGTGTATGGCCGGGTCAGCACCTTCTTCGATATTGAAATTGCCAGCACAAAGACTGTCACTTTATCGATCCCGACTCTCTCTAGACGTTGAGTGAACAAAAAAAGAGAGTGAATAAGTGGACTTTTGATCAGATCAAACTGCTCGTCTTGTAACTAACTCATCTTTGATCTATCGCTGGCAGGTCCGACCCACGGTGTTCTGTTTGCTCCAAACAAGATACCTCATACGCTCATATCATGTCCTCATTCCACTCAATATCACCTCTATTTGTTTCTTGATCATTGCACCCATCATTCTCATGGTACTAGCTCATTGTTACTATACACATGTTGTACTGTACGCAATGAACCACATTCCCTTCCATTGACCTAGTTCTCTCAACATTTAAACTGTATTGAGGGCAACTGAAGCCAGACGGCCCCAACTACTTCAGCCGCCGCCGCCGTAATCTTCAGTTGAACCAGTTCACTTCGGAAGGCGCCTTGAACACACTCTTGTCTATCAATTTCGCTTGACCGCATCTCAGATAACTTCATTCGTCACCCGAAGGTAGCTCCATGCTCTCAAAAAAATCTGTCATGTCGTTCGCTCAAACTACCCCAAACTTGAATGTAATACTGTGTATATGATAGACAATGGATTAAATGTACACTCCATATCGTACTCGACAAATATCTCTACAAATCGATTTACAGGACGAGATTATCACAATCAAGAGCTACAAGGATCGAATTGATTAACTGTGTGGGACAGAAAAAATCGGAGACTCACTCCTTGTAGCAGTCCTGCCAGTGTGAGCCATGTGCCATGCAACTCAAGTCAAGCTCAACGCCTCTGGGTATCACAAATGCAGTCCGAGGCCTATAAAATGGTTTACGAGAAGCTGGTGGTACCCAGAATAAGAGCCAGCAATTAGGTCCCACCATCCATCCATCTTCCTCCAGACAATTGAACGTCGAGCTGGGGTCATTATGGGGGCCACCTGCGAGTAGCTCAGTAGTGTCACGCAGTGCATAAGTCGAGTCTGATGAGAAGGAAATGATGGTATCGTTCGCAGTGTTGGATGTGGGGATGGCTGGTGTTGGATGTGGGATGTAATTGTCATGCGGGGAGGATGGTAAACAGTCTCCTTTGGTATGGTCCTGCAGTGACTTCCCAATCGCTGCATACCACACTCGGACAGTGCCATCCCATGAAGAAGAAATGATGCGAGTCCCATCCCGCAAGAATGAGACTGAGGTAACTACATCAGTGTGCCCCTGTAAGGGGTCACCAACTGGCTGCCCTGTTGCAAGATCCCACAACCGGATAGTCTTATCGTCTGAACTAGATGTAATGCGAGTCCCATCTGGTGAGAAGAAGACCGATGTCACCCTGTCAGTGTGCCCTTCCAAAGGCTCTCCAACAGGTTTCCCTGTTCCTACATCCCACAGCCGGACTGTCCAATCATCCGAACCAGAGATGATGTGAGTCCCGTCTGGAGAGAACGAGACCGACCTAACCTGATGAGTGTGCCCGAGGAAAGGCTCACCCACTAACTGCCCCGTCCCTGCGTCCCACAACCAGACAGTCTGATCTGCAGAACCAGTCGTGATGTGAGTTCCGTCCGGCGAGAATGAGACTGACCAAACCCGCTCACTGTGCCCCTCCAAGGGCTCACCAACTAGCTTCCCCATCCCTGCATCCCACAACCGGATTGTGTTATCGTCCGAACCAGAAACGATGCGAGTCCCGTCCGGAGAGAACGAGACTGAGTTAACCTCATCAGTGTGCCCAAGGAAAGGCTCACCCACTAACTGCCCCGTCCCTGCATCCCACAGCCGGATAGTCTTATCTGCAGAACCAGTCACAATGCGAGTCCCATCCGGAGAGAACGAGACTGAATGGACATAATCAGTGTGCCCCAACAAGGGCTCACCGACTGGACGACCTGTCGCTGCATCCAACAGCCTGACAGTGCCATCGCTCGAACCAGTGGTGAAGCGGGTCCCATCCGGTGATAGCGAGACTGAGGTAATGTAATTGGAATTGGTGGGGTCACCAACTGGCTTCCCTGTAGATGCATCCCACAGTCGGGCAGTCTTATCCCGAGAACCGGTCGCGATGCGAGTCCCATCCGGAGAGAACGAGACTGAGTTGACCCAATTAGTGTGCCCCAGTAAGGGCTCACCCACTGGCTTCCCTGTTGCTGGATCCCACAACCAGACAGTATTATCGATTGAACCTGTCACGATGCGACTTCCGTCTGGCGAGAATGAAACTGACGTCACCATACCAGTGTGCCCCTTCATGGGCTCACCGACAGGCTTCCCTGTCGCCACATCCCACAGCTGGACAGTCTTATCTCTCGAACCAGAAACGATGCGTGTCCCATCCAGAGAGAACGAGACTGACATAACCCAACCAGCGCGCCCCCACAAGGGCTCACCGACAGGCTTGCCCGTTCCTGCATCCCACAGCTGGACGGTTCCATCGTCCGAACCAGAAACGATGCGTGTCCCATCCAGAGAGAACGAGACTGATCGGACCCAATCAGTGTACCAGGCTTTCAAGGGCTCACCAACTGGCTGCTGCGTTGCTGCATCCCATAGCCGGAGAGTATTATCCATTGAACCTGAAACGATGCGAGTTCCGTTCAGCGAGAATGCGACTGAGTAAACCGACGCAGCATGCCCTGATAAGGGGTCACCGACGGTCTGCCACATTGCTACATCCCACAACCGGATGGTGTTATCTTCCAAGCCAGACACGATGCGCATCCCATCTGGCGAGAATGAAACTGAGTTAACTGACTTGGTGTGCCCCAGCAAGGGCTCGCCTACTGGCTGCCCCGTTGCTGCATCCCATAACCGCACAGTGCGATCATCTGATCCAGTCGCAATGCAAGTCCCATCCGGCGAGAACAAGACTGAGTTAACCCAACCAGTGTGTCTGCTGATCACAGTCTGAACGGCCATCCAGTTCATATCACATCCGGATGCTACACGAAGAGAGTTCAGAAACCGTGCAGAAAATGTTCTGGATAGTGCAGAGTTGAGGGGAGAGAATGGAAGTGCTGATACATAGAGATGAGGCGTGCTGTGTAAGATGATGCCACTGAACACTTGAATGAATCTCTGCACATCCATTGCAGCAGACGAGGCATCTTCGTATCCGGCGTGACCCTGTAATTGCAATTGCGCGTTAGTGAGCACGTTAACCTAACACTCGATAACCGTGTGCTCACCTTCAACCACTTGGCAATGAGCGGAAGGGCGGAGACTGCGCCACTGAGCGCATTGATAAGACAGAGTACTTCGAGCCAGAAAAACAGTCGCTCATGGTCGAGGAATGATTTTATTTCTTTGGCGAGTTCTGGATCAAAGGCAGTGGCTTATACATGTGAAAGCCAGAATCAACAGGTATAGGATAGATGTGGGGAAATGCATGTTTTGACTCGTTCTCGCAGATCGGGATCTTCAGAGTTGGGAAGATAAGATGATTTTAAATTGCAGATATTGAAAGAGAGTTCATCTTTCATCGCTCCAAGTGATGCGAGAGCAAGGTCGCATTGAACCTTCGGCACGTCGACAAAGAACTCTCCGCTGTGTGATTCGTCTGTCAGGAAATCGCGGAAGGATGCGTGAAGGGGTCGGATTGGGGTGGATGGGTCGGTGGTGCCGCTAAGGAGGGATCCCATGTGTTCTACTATGACCTCCACTTTGTAACGCTCACTTGCATCTGGAAAATGGCTTCGCATGGCATTCAGGGAATTCAAAGGGAGGGGTTCGGCTGTGCCAAGAATTTGTCCCATCATGGAATGAAACACCGCTAGCTGTGTTTGCTGAGACTTGAGGCTTGTGTGTTTATCCTTTGGCATCATCTGCGTCAGAATTAAGTCATATATATCATACAACAGGTGCTCCCGTTCGACAGGATCGCACGACACCATCACATTGAACGACTGATCAGAAGATAGCCCTGGAGAAGGTGCTTCGATGGATTCGCAAGCAAGATGTGCCCACTCGAAAAGACCATCAGCTTTCTTCGCGAGGGCTGTAAATTCCGTGCTCCCAAAATGCGGAAGCCCTTCTAGCTTCTTCGACATGTAAGCGTGAATATCGCGTTCTGCGACTTTTGGTGGAATGTCGTCCATGGAAATCCGTTTAATGTGTTGAGCGCCTGCAAACGCATTCTGAATGTCCCAAAGTGGGCGAGAGGTGACAATAAACTGAAAGTTCTTTGGGAGCTCCGTGATTTGAGGAACAGCAGAGTTCTGAAGTTTACCGGAAAGAATGCGAAGAAGGTCGCATCGTGTCTTGGCCACCCTGCTCTCGTCCAGCGCGTCGATCACGATCACGACAGGGCCCACGGTTGAATCTGAGAGCTTCTGCATTGGTTCCATCAGAAGCTTCTGCCATTGCTGGAAGATGTCAGCTGTAGTCTTGAGCGCACTGTCATTCTGAACTTTATCTGCCAAGGCTCGCCTCATCCCCCAATCATGATCAGCCAGGTTGCGCGCGATGGTAGAATATATCTTCTCATGGCAACGGTCGGCTTCTCGATCTCGGTCGAAGCAATAACATGAACCGAGCCCTCCCGCGTCACTGAACCACTTAGCAATCGTGTGGGCGATGGCTGATTTGCCCTTGCCTGCAGGGCCAGATAGCCACAGCACCCGTGGAACGTCGTCTCCAGTGCTGTTCACCCAATCTGTGATCTGGGAGAGTATCTCCATGCACGTCCCTTGGAGGCATTGTTTCCTGGTATCTAGCCCTGCGTTCGCTGCATAAGTTATACCACTGAGGTCTAGTAGTTCGCCTGAAGAGAAATGTATAGCTGTTGCATCAGGAACAGGTATGATACTCACCTGTATGGTAGGTGTAAATAGCTACGTCCAGAGCAACTTGGTCTCGGAAGCTTTGCATGAGGGCATCCAACGCATTGCTATACCGTTGAATTTCATTGTTTGTTTCGGTGAGAATGTCTTTCCCGAGTCTCTTCCCTGTTATAATTGTAGGAGACTGAGTGCGTAGAATGTGCAACAATTTGAAGACTCACAGAAGCTCTTGGTCTCTGCATAATCTCTAATGAAGCGAGCGCATTCAAGGGTCTGCTGAGAGATCTGTCCAAGGATATCGCGCATCGATGAAATCTGGCCAAGCGTCTCGTCCTGGATCATGAAGTCGTAAACTTGATCCAACTTGTCGACAAGATGATGGACTGCTTGATCGCGGTCCAATTGGGCGATGACCATCTACCCTGATGACTCTTGAGCGCATGATAAAAACGAGAGGAACTAAACATACTTTTGAAGCACAAGATAAGACGCCCAGTGCAATCTTTGCATATGGATGTACCTGCAGAACGAAGTTAGTGCAATTCCAACTAACAGGATTGGGCCCATACATCTGCGAGCTTCCCTATAATATTGTCAAATATCCTAAGGGGTTGAAGATATGCATCCTGGAAACTATATGCGTCCTCGAGATCCCCTGGTGCATTTTGGGTGGCGGATGCTCCAGACTCTACAGGCCCTGACACGAGATTCATGCCTTTGACAGTCTTTTTGGCGTCTCGAAGTGCCGATTGGGGATCACCGCCTTGTTTCACATCAGATGAAGCATTCTGAACCATGCGACCGTCAGAAGTTGAGAGAGAAAGCAGAAACTGAAAGGTGACTTACCTCGTGCTTGATATTCGGAGTTGACAAAGCGCCTGTGTGATCAACGTTTGGGAGAATAGGCTCGCTGCTGCGCAAATTCTTCGAGCGCTTGTGTATAATCTCAGCCTGATCCCATGCAATTCGGTTTCTCAACTTACAAAAATTTTCTTTGTTACACCATCCTTAGCCTTCTTCAGAAACTGACAAAATTTGTGTGGCGGTCGGGCCTGGACAAACAAGGGCATCAGAGTCAGTGTTCGAGAGTGTGATGGACAAGGGATGCATATGAGCAAGGTACCAAGCTTCCTTGAGCGACTGCTGTTGTGTCTGGAGCAACTTGGGTCGAGTCCCTTGATTGACTCTTGCTGTTGCTCATGGCGAATAGTTAAGGGTCAGTTGGGTGAAGTAGGCGTTGAACAACAAGAGTGGGTAGGAACGTGGTGTAAATATGATAGCAAGGCATAGCCTTGGCCGTAAGCACGCAAGCCTCGAGGCAATACTTATTTGCTGCTGTGTTGACCTCCGAAGCCCTAAACATGGCCAGCTGCTTGGGGCAGGCACTACCATGATGTAACTCCGTGAAATGCCAGGAAGTCGAAGGAACAAATCGGACCATCTTCATTCATAAGTTACCATTCTAGTATGGACAGTCGAGGTCATTACTCAGTTATGCAAGGACGTTCAAAGCTGGGTTGATGTCGGAGTTACCCGAAAACAAATGTTCAACGTTCAATCGATCATCCTGCATGTTGCAGCTTGTATATGATCTCAGATCTGACATGAATGCATGACCGCGGAACCCGTGTCTCAAATCAAATTCCATTTCTCATCCTCAGCTATGCATTTGTCGTCCTCCACACTCTAAACTGCTAGTCAGGACGCGCCAGCCTTGATTGGATTCTCCATGGATCAACTGATCCCGCATCGATACCAGAAGGTAGCGTTCTACGAGAGCTTCAAGCCGACTACTTGAAGTCGTAACTGACCTTGCTAACCCTTAGCACACGCCATCAAACGTAAAAATAACTGCGACACCTGAGGCAGTGCAACACACTTCTCGCGAGACGACACCAAGAAGGCCTGTGCCACAAGCGGGCACTAGAAGTAGATATGGGTGAGCGGCAAGGGAAGAAGAATGGAGTATTCAATATGAAGGAGGATGGCAAAACGGCAACACCAAGTGTCACGGTAAGCCGCACCCAATATTATTTTCCTTAATGAAATATCATCCTTCATATTGCTTTTAGCTTGCTAGACGCTCGTCCATCTTATTTCTGGCATGTGTTCTCGAAGTTTCACATCTTCCACGCCTCAAGTCTTGACATACGTGCACCCATCATTCTCATGGTACTAGCTCGTTGTTACCATACACATGTTGTACTGTACACAACGAACCACATTCCTTCCCACTGACCCAGTCCTCTTCAACATTTAAAGTTTTAAACTGCGTGTGCAGTGTGCATCCGAAGCCAAATGACTATCCAAAGCTTCAACCGCTGCATGCTGCTGTACAATCTCCTTCATTCAATCTACTTTGGGAGGTGCGCACTTAAGTTCTCTCCATTAGTTTCGCTTGATCCCATCTCTGATCACATTCATGTTCGTTTCATGCTCTCAAGAACCTGTCAGTACTCAGTCACAACCTTTCTAACACGCGCGTCGTTCGCTCAAACTACCCCAAAGTCAAATACAATGCTACATATATATGTAATAGAATAATGAATTCATTGTATACACCATATCGTAGTGGACAAATATCTCTACAAATCAATTTACAGGAACGAGACTGATGATCGCAATCAAGAGCTACAAGAATCGAATTAATTAACTGCGAGGAACAGAAAAAACTGAGAACTCACTCCTTGTAGCAGTCGTGCCAGCACATGCCATGTGCCATACAGCTCAAGTCAAGCTCAATACCACCTTCGGGCATCACTAATGCATTCCGAGGATTATATCTAAATGTTTCTCGAGAAGCGGGTGGTACCCAGAATAAGAGCCGATGATTAGGTCCCATCATCCATCCGTCTTCTTCCAGAAAATTGAACGTCGACCTGCGGTCATGAGGGCGGGCACCTGCGAGTAGCTCAGCAGTGTCGCGCAGTGCATGTGTCGGGTTTGATGAGAAGGAAATTAAGGCATCGTTTGCAGTGTTGGGTGTGGGGACGGCCGGTGTTGGATGTGAGATGCAACTGCCATGTGGGGAGGATGCTGAACAGTCTTCTTCGGCATGGTCCTGCAATGACTTCCCAATTGCTGCATACCACACTCGGACAGTTCCATCCGATAAAGAAGAAATGATGCGAGTCCCATCCCACGAGAATGAGACTGAGTTGACCCACGCAGTTTGCACCCGCAAGGGCTCACCGACTGGCTGCCCTGTTGCAAGATCCCACAGCCAGACAGTTTCATCGTGCGAACCAGAAACGATGCATGTCCCATCCGGAGAGAATGAGACTGAATTGACATGGCCAGTGTGCCCCTCCAAGAGCTCTCCAATAGGCTTCCCTGTTACTGCATCCCACAGCCGGACAGTCTCATCCTTAGAACCAGTCGCGATGCGAGTTCCGTCCAGTGAGAACGATACCGACGTAACCTCATCAGTGTGCCCTAGGAAAGGCTCACCCACTAACTGCCCCGTCGCCACATCCCACAGCTGGACAGTCTTATCATCTGAACCAGAGACAATGCGAGTCCCATCTGGAGAAAGCAAGACTGACATAACTGGACCAGCGTGCTGCAAGGGCTCGCCAACAGGCTTCCCCGTTCCTGCATCCCACAGCTGGACTGTGTGATCGCCCGAACCAGAAATGATGCAAGTCCCATCCAGAGAGAACGAGACTGACCGGACCGAATCAGTGTGCCCTTCCAAGGGCTCACCAACTGGCTGCTGCGTTGCTGTATCCCATAGCCGGAGAGTCTTATCAGATGAACCTGAAATGATGCGAGTTCCATTCGGCGAGAACGCGACTGATTGAACCAACCCAGTATGCCCCAATAAGGGCTCACCAGCTGGGCGACCTGTCAATGCATCCAACAGCCGGACAGTGCCATACAGAGAACCAGTGGCGAAGTGGGTCCCATCCGGCGATAGCGAGACTGAGATAATGAAATTGGAATTGGTGGGGTCACCAACTGGCTTCCCTGCAGATGCATCCCACAGTCGGACAGTGTTATCCGCAGAACCAGTCGCAATGCGAGTCCCATCTGGAGAGAACAAGACTGAGCAGACAGAATAAGTGTGCCCCAGTAAGGGCTCACCCACTGGCTTCCCTGTTGCTGGATCCCACAACCGGACAGTATGATCGTATGAACCTGTCACAATGCAACTTCTGTCTGGCAAGAATGAAACTGACCTCACCCCAAAAATGTGCCCCATGGGCTCACCGACAGGCTTCCTTGTTGCCACATCCCACAGCTGGACAGTCTTATCGCCCGAACCAGAGACAATGTGAGTCCCATCCGGAGAGAACGAAACTGACATAACCCAACCAGTGTGCCCCAGCAAGGGCTCACCGACAGGATTCCCCGTCCCTGCATCCCACAGCCGGACAGTTTGATCGTCCGAACCAGAAACAATGTGTGTCCCATCCGGAGAGAACGAGACTGATCGGACCCAATTAGTGTGCCCTTCCAAGGGCTCACCAACTGGCTGCTGCATTGCTGTATCCCATAGTCGGAGAGTCTCATCATATGAACCTGAAACGATGCGAGTTCTGTTCGGCGAGAACGCGACTGAGTTAACCGACTTAATATGCCCCAATAAGGGTTCACCGATGGCCTGCCAAGTTGCCACATCCCATAACCGGACGGTCTTATCTTCTGAGCCAGACATGATGCATGTCCCATCCGGTGAGAATGAAACTGAGCTAACTGACTTAGTGTGCCCCAGCAAGGGCTTGCCTACTGGCTGCCCCATCGCTGCTTCCCATAACCACACAGTACAATCATCTGATCCAGTCGCAATGCGAGTCCCATCCAGCGAGAACGAGACTGAGTTAATAGAACCAGTGTGTCCGCTGATTACAGTCTGAACAGCCGTCCAGTTCATATCACATCCGGATGCTACACGAAGAGAGTTCAGAAGCCGTGTAGAAAACGTTTTGGATAGTGCAGAGTTGAGGGGAGAGAATGGAAGTGCTGATACATAGAGATGAGGTGTGCTGTGCAAGATGATGCCGCCAAAGACTTGAATGAATCTCTGTACGTCCATTGCAGCAGACGAGGCATCTTCGTATCCGGTGTGACCCTGTGATTGCAATTGCACGTTAGTGGGCATGTGATCTGACGCTCGATAACCGCGTGCTCACCTTCAACCATTTGGCAATGAGCAGAAGGGCGGGGACTGCGCCACTGAGCGCATTGATAAGACCGAGTACCTCGAGCCAGAATAACAGTCGCTCATGGTCGAAGAATGATTTTATTTCTGTGGCGAGTTCTGGATTGAAATAAGTGGCTTGTACGTGTGTGGGCCAGAATCGACAGGCATAGGATAGATGTGGGCAAATGCATTTTTTGACTCGTTCTTGCAAATCGGAATCTTCGGAGTTGGGGAGATAGGATGATTTTAAATCACAGATATTGAAGGAAAGTTCATCCTTCATCACTCCAAGTGATGCAAAAGCAAGGTCTCATTGAACCTTCGGCATGTCGACGAAGAACTCTCTGCTGCATGATTGGTCTGTCAGGAAATCATGGAAGGACGCGTGAAGGGGTCGGATTGGGGTGGATGAATTGGTGGTGCCGCTGAGGAGGGATCCCATGTGTTCTATAATGTCCTTCACTTTGTAACACTTGCTTTCATCTGAAAAATGGCTTCGCATAGCATTCAGGGAATTCAACAGGAGGGGTTCGGCTGTGCCAAGGATTTGTCCCATCACAGAACGAAACACCACTAGCTGTGTTTGCTGAGACTTGAGGCTTGTGTGTTTATCCTTTGGCATCATCTGTGTCAGAATTAAGTCATACATATCATACAACAGGTGCTCCCATTCGACAGGATCGCGTGACACTATGACATCAAATGACCGATAGGAAGATAAGCCAGGAGGAGGTTCTTTGATGGATTTGCAAGCAAGACGTGCCCACTTGAAAAGACCATCAGCTTTCTTGGCCAGAGCTGTAAATTCTTTGCTCCCAAAATTCGAAAGCTCTTCCAATTTCTCCGATACATAGGTGCAGATATCACGTTCAGCCACTTCTAGTGGAATGTCGTCCATGGAAATCCTTTGAATGTGCTGAGTGTTACAGGCATCCGTAACACCTACAGGAGCCCCTGCTCTGCCTACGCCTGCCCCCGCTCTGCTAGACTCCCCGTGCGGCGGTGCGCCGCCCGCGCCTAGAAAGACAGCAGTCTGGACCGCTATGACCCCACCCCTGGCGCTATGACCCCACCCCTGGTGCTATGACCCGCCCCCAGCCTAGATGGCCTTGTACCTGATCCATGGAGGCTGTACGCCTCATGGTCACCCTAGATCAGCGCATGCATACCGCATGTCGCTTCATGAAGATCCGGAGCGCTCTTGGCGCTTCCTGTACCTATGCGCAGCTGCCCTTGGTGCAGCATGCTTGATCAGAGGTTAAGCCTCATGTATCTTATCTGAACCTCATGTCTTGTTATCATAGATCCTAGATATACTATTGATTACAGACTGAGCTAGAATACTTGTAGTACTTCCCTATAAGTAGACACAGATTATTGTACTTAGACTTTACTTTAATCTACTAGGTTCATCCCAGAACTTGTTCAACTAAGCCTTACCAGCTTCCTTGCATAAGACCGCACTTCTAAGTCGCCCCCATACGACTTAGCACGTATCCGCTAGCCCTGTATCTCGATGAGCACCGTCTTACTGAGATCACCGGAGGAACCCTTGACGTTCTGTCAAGCCGAGAACCACCCTCAGCTTCAGTAGACTCACTCGAGTCGTCGCTGAGAAGACCTATCCTAGTTCACACACGCCGACCGACGGTCAGCATAACACTGAGCACCTGCAAACGAATTCTGAATGTCGCGAAGCAGGCGGGAGGTGACTATGATCTGGAAGTTCTTTGGCAGTTTCATGATATGGGTGATGGTTGGGTCTCGAAGTTTACTGGAAAGAATGCAAAGAAGGTTGCTGCGTGTTTCCACCTCACCACTTTCGTCCAGTGCGTCGATAACGATCACGACAGGCCCCACGGGTGACTCAGAAAGCTTCCCTAACGGTTCTATAAGAAGCTTCTGCCACTGCTGCACGACATCCGATGTAGTCTTGAGCGCAGTCTGGTTCTTGACTGCATCCGCTAACGCTCATCTCATCTCCGGATGACGGTCAGCCAGGTTGCGCGCGATAGTGGTGAAGACCTTTTTATGGCGATCTTTTTCGTTTTGGTCAAAGCAGTAACAAGAACCAAGTCCGCCCACTCTGATGAACGAGTTGGCAATCGTGTGAGCAATGGCTGATTTACCCATTCCGGCAGGGCCGGATAGCCATAGCACACGTTCAACATCTTCCCTGCTGTCGTTGATCCATTCCATGATGTCGGAGAGAATTTCCTTGCGTGTCCCTGATTGACATTACTTCGTAGTATCTTGTCCTGCGTCATCCACATAAGCCAAACCACTGAATTCCAGTATTTCGCCTGTAGAAGAATGAATGGATGTCGAGTCAGAAGCAAATACAATCCTTACTTGTATTGTGAATATAGGTGGCTACGTCGCGAGTGACTTGGTCGCAGAAGTTTTGCATGAGCACATCCAACACATCGTTATACTGTTGTATCGTATCATTTGTTTCCGAGATGATGTTCTTTCCGAGTCTCTCCCCTATAATGAGAATGAAAATCTGCCAAGTGTAACAACTTGTTGGAGACTCACAAAAGCTTTTCTTCTCTGAATAATCCCTGATGAAATTGGCGCATTCTAGGGTCTGTTGAGAGATCTGTCCCAAGATTTCCCTCATCGACAAAATCTTGAGAAGTGTGTCGTCTTGCGTTATGAAGCCATACAGTTGACCCAACTTCTTGTAGAGGTCAAGTACCGCATCGTCACGATCCGCTTGAGCAAGAATTATCTGCGTGCAGAACAGGTGAGCAGGAAATACGAATAATGGCAAGAAAAACGTACTTTTGATGCGCAAGAAAGCACACCCAATGCCATCTTTGCATATGGATGCACCTGCAGAATGGTGTTAGTCTAGTTGTAAAGAGGAAGAGAGAGAACATACCTCTGCTATCGTCCCGATCACAGTGTCAAATGTCCTGAGGGGCTGAAGATAAGTGGTCTCTATACTGTCTACATCATCGAGTGCCGCTGGTCCATTTTCGCCTGCAGACAATACGGGTCTCACATGTCCCCAAAGTGATTTCATCTGATCTGCACCATGACCGGCATCCTGAAGTGCCTTGTTCACAGATTTGGGATCGGGGACTTGTTGCACAACAGCAGAAGTATCCTGAGACCGGTGTAGTCAGTAGAAGTACATAGAGCAGACATTGGGATGTCACCTACCTGAACGGGGTCGCAGCTGCACAAATTCTTCGAGCGCTTGTGTATGATCTCAGCCTGATCCCAATACAACTCGGTTGCTGGACTTACATGAATCTTCTTCGTTACACCATCCTTGACCTTGCTCAGAAACCGATGAACTTTGTTTGGCGGTTGGCCCTGAACAAATGGGGCATCACAGTCAGTATTTGAGAGTGCGATGGGCAAGTGATGGACATGAGTGACATACTGAGCTTCCGCGAGCAACTGCTGTGGTGTCTAGAGGAACTGGGCTCGAGCCATTTGATTGATTGATGTTGCTCATGGCGATAGTTAAAGATCAGTATGGGCGAAGTAGGCATTGAACACAAAGAGTGGGAAGCAACGTCGTTTAAATAGATATCAGGCCATACCCATGACCATAAGCCTCAGGGCGATGGTTATTTGCTACTGTGTTGACCGGCGCTAAGCATTGAGCAGACTTGGAGCAGGTGGTATGTAACTCCACGAAATGCCAAGAAGTTGAAGGAATGACTATCTTCATTCGTTCACCATTTGTCTACCTAAGACGGTCGAAATCAGTATAGTGAAGACGTTCAAAGTGCTAGCAGGTGCTTTTGACTCCGACGTCGGAGTTGAACGAAAACAGCAATATTAATGTTCGATCAATCATCTATATGATCTCAGATCTGACACTCCGCTACCGCCGGAACCCCGTCTTACGCTTCTGCATTACTATCATTCCCTGTAATATGTCCATGGTTCCTAATTTGCAAAATGTTAGAACAACTCAACATCATGCTCAACTGGCTTCGAAAAAATTCAGGCATATGCAGAATACCTATAAATGATGTTTCACACAAGTAGAATAAAATATTCTTGAATGTTGCAGTTGCAAGAGACGAAATTGTGGCAATTTGCAACCTTTGTCCAACACAAATCACCCAGATCCCAAAGATCCTGCACAGGTACTCATAAAAATTTACCTGGGACACAAAGGGCACCTTCTTGGGATGTCATAAAACCAATTCGATAATAGTTACTCTCCCGCACTGAGGTGCTACAGTGGTGTAATCAACGACAAGTCTGAAAACATGACACCAGACAGGGGGGGTGCACAAATAATTCAATCTCCTCCTCGGCACACATGGCATCTACCTTCTGGTTGTATCATTCTCTCACACCGCAGGAAGGCAACACATTCCTGCACTTCAGCCTCACTCTCGAATCTCCACATACTTGGCACCCTTATTTTGCACCAGCGAGTCACGGCAATACAGATTTTCGAGTTGGCAGCATGGTGTGGACTGAGGATGTGTATGCAGGAGGGCACCAATACTACATTCAGAGTAATTAGTATTGTTAGTATTTAATAGATACTCTCAGTCAATAATAGTATCTGCGTTTTCGAGCCTTTCCAACGCAATCCGACGCACGGAAGACTTCTGAGAGTGAAAGTCGATTGTGCCGCTACTATGCCGAGGCGTGACAGGCCGTGACCAAAATTGTGCAGATTGGAGGGTGACCCTGAGTTTTCTCGGACTTGCTCCGACATCGCACTACATTATTCTAAAAATCAGTAAAAATCAGATCCATGTAGAAGAGATATAAATCTATGATAGGTAAAATTTTCGAAAGAAAAAGTGATGTGGTCGAGGGGCTAGAAAAGATTTTATGAAAATGTTACACATTACAGGGAATGATAGTAATGCCGTTTATCAGCTGACTCTCTGTTCTTGGTTCTTGATATAGATATGCTGTACACTTTTGTTATCTTGCACGCATGTCTATTAGCGACGCGATTCGTCTCTCTAAACTGAGTCAGGACGCCCCAGCCTCGATTGGATTCTGGATTAACTGATCACGTATCGACCCCAGAAGGTAGCGTTCTACAAGAACTTTACCCCGAGTACTTGAAGTCGCAACTAACCTTACAAGTACATCGTTCAACAAGAGCAGGACGTATTCGAATTCGTGGTGCTGCTAGTATGGGAGCAGTGAAATATCATTATTGAGAGCTCTCACCAGTCGTCTAAACAACTTCAAGGTAACGATCTAGTAATTGTATCATTCAAAACTCGACGACTTCAAACTGATCCATTTTATCCTGGATAAACAATGAGTACGTCGCACTTCATCAGAAGATAAGAGAATCCTACGATATCAAAATGGTTCTTCAACAAATAAAGTCTGTCTCTATCGAGCCACATATCAACGAACTCCCTATGACTGAACGTTCTGTGAGACACGACCTCGACATATGGCATGGATATCGTGATGCATTCATCCGTCTTGACGTTTTCTACTGTAGATGGCTTATCCACCATTATTCCTAAGCCTTGCTCGTGGTGGCGCTTCACAGCCGACGGACTGAAGTCCATGAGATGTATCCTGTACTCTGTCGTGATCAAGCCGTCATTCAATTCTACGCCAGACGCGAATGCATACAAAGTTCGACTCCCGCTAACGCTGAGTTTGCATGAAAATCGGTGCGGACAACATGAGCATTTGAAGGACCCCAAGACTTCCATGGTATTTTCGTTCCTTCCGAGTCAACGAAGTCAAGCTCGAAAAAAATCCTAGTGGAAATGATAAAGTAAAGTTCTGAATTCCACGTGACGAGAGATCAGTCGATTTTTAGGATCCGAGATCCATGTTGCTTGTGAGGGGTGTGGGCTACGTGCGATATCATCCGTCGGAGTCAAGCATCATAAATTCACCACTGACGTGGGAAACAAGAAGAAGGCGCAGCAGAGCTTGAGCCGGCGTCCACGAAGCTTGCGACAGGAGGGCCGGGGAACATGTACTGAATGGGAGGGTTGTATATCTGCGCGGTGATTAGTGCTATGTTCGAAGAGAAATTAAACGATGAAATGGCTCACGTTTGGTGTCAGGATACCGGGATCGTCATCACTGTCACAACCAGGGAATAAGCACTCCTCGCTCGACGTCGGGCCCTGAGTTTGGGAACCACCGACTTAAAGTTGAATGCACGCAGGGTAAAACTCAGCGCCTCCTGGAGACATTGCAAGTCGGAGAGAGATAATCTCCGAGCGAAGCAAATAATTTCCGGGTGCGAGAGTGTTCGGGATCGTCACGTTAGCAGGAGCTCAAGAATCTGCGGAATACATGAGTACAAGTAAAGTAAAGTAAAGTATGAACAGTACCGACTCAAGTTTGCCTGATACCAGGTATTGCCGTCCGCCTCGAGACAAAGTTCAGAGATCTTGAACCACTCGGAGTTCGTCGAGTTGTACGTTGAGCAAGAGCCGTCGCACTTCGTCATGTAGTGCATCAGTGGGCCTGTGTTATGCGGCCACTGCGGATTGATTATCACTTGTCAATCTATGGCATCATGTGCGAAGTCACGTACGTTGGATGAGTCATCTGTTCCGCCAACCCATAGAATCTCGAGCTGGGAGCCAGGGTTCGCATTTCCTGCCAGGGAAGCGAACTGAGCGTCTTGCCCGCAGTTGATGTACGGGTTTTGAGCACCCTTAATGGGACTGTTCGTATTCACAAAACGGATGATAGAAGGTGCAGGGGTTTTCACGTTCAGGTTATTGAGCATGTAGACGATGCCATCGATCGTCACCTACTGTAAGAAACCATGAGCTGAGCTGAGAGTGGAGACAGCGAGTTAGCAAGATTGGGGATCGTTACCTTGTTACACAATAGCAGAAGTATCCTGAGCCAGTAGAAGTTAGACAGAAAGCAGATATCGGAATGTCACTTACCTGGACGGGGTCGCGGCTGCGTGAATTGTTGAACTTTGAACACTTGTGTAAGATATCAGCCTTATCCCTGGACTGAGTGTTGATTTCGACTTACATAAATCTTTTTGATAACACCATTCTTAACCTTGCCCAGCAAGCGACAAATTTTGCCATGGGGTCAGCCTTCTAGAGAAAGGATGGATGTCATTGAGTTTCAATCTCATGAATATCAACCACTTACCCGGCGCTCAGCAGTATTTGTTTCGTTGGGTGTCTCGATGTCTGGAGGAGGAACTGACCTGGACTCGGAGTTGTTCATGGTGAATAGTGCTGATCAGAGTAGTGTAAGACAAGAAGTTGGAGAAAGGACGCGCGCCGGCCTCGAGGCAATGTTTGCTGCTATGTTGACTTCAGGCGTAAGCATTGGGTGGGCGCCACAGAACTCCGGGACTCGGAAACGCAAGGAGGAATGAATCGAAGATTTGTTGATCTGGCTATATATAGCCACATCGAGACATGAACGCAAAGTTGAGAATAAAAAAATAACAGCACCGTATACTTCCGTATTACATAATAATATTGCGGTGATATGATTAATATTGAACGTTCTGAACTTGCAAACTCATCCTAGTGCTAGTGAATATTGACTTCAACCGTCTCTGATTCCGTCTCTTTGCAATGCCCCAGTCTTTGTCATTTTCAAATTTCTCCATTCATGCTATTTGCGTGTTGCTACATAGTAAAGAATAACTATTCTAAGCGAACCGTCGACCATTCCCGTCCCACGGCCCTGCTCGTCACCTACCCCATCAACGATTTCTTTCGCATCATCGCGCAACCGCCTCCCAGGCTCAAACTGCGAAGGAGTACATGTCGTGGAGTTGATGGAAAGATGAGAAAGATGAGAACACACCACCAACCTTTGAAGGAATTGAGTCGCTCATGGTATGAACAATGCTTGTAACCCATAAGCCCATCATGATCATTCAGTGAGTCTGCAGCGCGTGCAGTTCGAACAATACATTTTCTACAGTATTACCATGTTTAAATCGGACCTCAGAAGCTCATCTTAGCTGTGAGCTGTCCAGTGTTAGCGCGTATGGCCAGGTTAGCACCTCTTTGATATTGAAATTGCCAACACGAGGACTGTCACTCTATCGACCCCGACCCTCTCTGGACCTTGAGTGAACGATAAAAAGTGGGTTTTTGATCTGATCAACGTCTTGTAGCTAATACGCCTTTGATCTATCGCTGGCAGGTCCGACCCACGGGACTCTGTTTACCTCGTACACTCATATCATGTCCTCCTTCCACTCTCTATTTGTTTCTCGATCAGCAGTGTCATATAAATTGTTCAATCAGCACCAATGGCAAAGTGGAAACACTCACTAGTGTTTCACTACGTGAAAATAGGCTTGCAAGGGTGGGATAACCTAGGCGATGCATATACAACCAGCGCAAAGGGCGAATTTATCGCAGCAGTCACTAACGGCTTCGCAAGGCTGGTCACGTTGGCTACAGATTGGTCCCCTTACTGCGACACACATAGGAGATGACGTCAACGCAACGATAAGGGCGAGGAAAAAGAAACGCATTGTTCGTTTGAGATGATATGATATACTGAGGGCTCGAATAATGTTTTTGAGGTGGGTGGACGCTGATGACGGTAGGAAAATGACTTGCTTTTATATTATCACGAAAACGTTTAGCAAAATGGTTATAGCGGCTAGCCATTTTGAAGCGCCTGCCTCACTTGTGATGCTGGTGTTATATTCACGCCAAGACCAAACAGTACGCAGAAACCTCATACACTCATATCATCCACTCCTTTCACCCGATATCGCCTCTATTCATTTATCAATCCCCAGCGTTCTACATGTTCATATTGCTCAACAACAGCGCCAATAAGAATGCAGAAACACTCACTAGTGTGTCGCTACGTGAAAATCGGCCCGTTCTCAAATTGGAGGGGGCTCGTCGGTAGGCACGCACACGGCATCATGACAGGCATCACTGCCGTTGCAACAGTCACTATCGTGCCATTGGCATTCATCCTCAGCTGGATTACAGGTTGGTCGCCTTGCTGTGACAGACAATATAGATGCTGTCAACGCAACAATGAAGGCGAGGAAGAAGAAGCGCATTGTTTGTTTGAGGTGGTATGGTTGAGGTGCTCGAATGATTTCTTTGAGGTGGGTGGATGCTGGTGACGGTACCAAAATGACTTGCTTTTATATTATCACGAACAGGTTTTGCAAAATGGTTATGCTTGGCGGATGATACTGCGGCAGAACCTACTATCCCTTCCAGTCATCTCGTGGGTCCTGCGGCCTGCCTCAGTCGTGGTGCACCGGTGACGCGGCTATGACGAGGCAAGAAATGCCACGTCAAAGCTGCTGATAGCCGGCCTATATTAATTCTTGACTCCATCCTGTGTTGTTGGCAGAACTCCAGGGTATCTGAGACTTGCAGAGATGTAAATTAGACCTTTTGACATAGTTTGAATCCAATAGAACATGAATACCGATGTCCCTAAAGTAAGATGGTGCATGTCAGGCTGGAGGATGCCCCCTCGCATTGTTGTTTCAACCAATTCCGAAATTCACCCACTCAAGGTGTACCATGACGATACTCTCAATTTTAGGGCATGCTGGCGAAGTAAAGCGCAGATTCTCTGATCTCAGCGCTATACAATCTGCGCGATCACGGTACATATCTTAGTTGACACATTGGGACCGACTTCCGTCAGAATACAAGGACTGAAAAGTCCCTTTCTGACGTTGTATTGAACCGTCACTGTTATCCACGGACTACCCGTTTTGGGTACATCTCGATATCTCGGGTTTTATCTGCTTATATACTACCTCACCATCAACATCACCTCCCCATCGCTGTCAACGCTATGCTCCTGCCGCTGCCTATCTGAAGCTACACCAGTCGACCGCACCTCCTCCTACACTGCACATCCACCTGCTTCTTCGTGCTCATGCAGCAGCGCTTCATCATGCCCTATCTCTGCCTCTGTTTCGACGCGGCCGCGATTCAATGTATATCGGGCCCATCGAGGTTCCACCAATGCAGAGAGAACGACGTTGCATGGAAGGACCAAATCGAGGACATCGAAGGTGAGCAAGTTGAGCAGTGATAACTATCTGACTACTCATGTTGACTAGGCCCACGACACCTGATGTGAATGCCGAAGGGGGCAAATCATGATCAGATTCAGAACTGGCGTCAATGCCATGAGTGAACGGTGAGTCTGTGATCAAATTTTAACGTCATTTGTATCCTCATGTGCTCGTTTGTGCAGCCATCATGTCCGGTTCTTCCCGAAGAATTCAAGAAACGTTGCATCTCAGGAATGTGATGCTAGGGCAGCGCTCTGTTTTTGCAACCACCATGTCTGCCCAACCACTTCGGGGAAGTCGCCTCGTCATTCAGACTCTGAACCCTACACTGCTACCTCCAATGGCCCGTGGACCAAGTGGTTCTAGTCGTGTACTCATCAATAACCTTACGACGAGCACTGGTCAGAAGCGCAAACGTGTGCAAACTCTCATCTCGCAGACTCGATCTACTGGTTTAGCAGACTGTCAGCCCATAGAGTTGCCAGTACTTCCCCCTTCGAACGAAGGTGATATCCAGCCAAATGTGTTGGAGCAGCCATGCCTGCTACTGGAGACAACGCCGTCTGATGCACCAGATGATGACCTCGTTTGGAATTCTGCGTTGCTGCACACCAGTGATCTGTACACCCGCACCTTGTACTGGGATGCTTTAGTAGCAGTGGATGCTGTTTTTAGGATTAGTGTGGATCTGTGGGTATTGCAGGATTGGGATGGCGAAGAGGAAGTTCTACAGGTAGGAGAACAAATGCATAGCAGAATTTTCGTACTGACTGGACCTTCTCAGCTTGGATCTTACTTTCATGTGGTCTACCTACCTCGGAGTGACGATGAATATGGGGTTGCGTGTATGTGTCCACGCTGGAAGGCTGCTCATGCCTGTATCCACCAGGACACCCTGTGTTCCTTCATCGACACCTTGCGCTGCCTCCCACTTATTGCTCCGTTCCCGGCCCCTCCTGCAGTTTTATTACAGTCGACACCCTTCAATGACAAGTTTATTTTCTCTTGTGCGTCGGCTATGGGTCGCTATGAGTCTGGAAAACGTGTTGTTGTTACGTTGCAGCAAGATGGCCGTTGGCATTGCCATTCGTGTCGCTACTCAGATGCTTGCAAGCACAAGCCACATGCGAAAGCTTTTGCATTGGAAGCCGGACTTATGGTGAACATGAAGGATGGTCATCAAATGGGTGCGACGGATGATGCAGCTGGTGATGAGGAGAGCGCTGTCCTTGTTCGTGCGGCACAATGTGGAGTTAACTTGGCAAAGCATCGTGCTATCTCATATCTCCCCATTCCTCCTCCGCGATGGTGTGCTCTACCTGCTGAACGAGCTACCCTTCCTCTCCGACAAGTGTCGACCAACTCTCACTTCGCAGTTGAAGATTCATCGCAGTGTGTCTGTGGGTTATCGATGCCACAAGCAGTCCTCCAAGGCCATTCTGGTCCTCGAGTATTAAAGACAGCTGTGTTATATGGACTTACTGCCCGACGAACAGTGTCAATTGAGTTGCTCCCTTGTCCAGTCTGTTGCCATTCTCGTCGTCACATCGGCCCTGATCTCAGAGACCATGGTATATTCAACTGGAACAACACAATGTTATTTTTGCACGAGCTGTTGAATGCATACACAAATTCATACACTGCATCGGAGACACCATTCTCTGCATTTGTTTGACTGTGCGACGTTCCTATCAAGATGCTGGAGATGAAAATAGCTTTTGTTCGGATGACACCTTTGTTCGAGTCTGGTTTGCCTTCACTCGACGACAGTGTCTTGACAGTGGTATGCAATGCCCTACATGTGGCTCATCTCCTGACATTGTAATCGCGGACGGAGTCAGTCTGGGAACTCATGTATCCAAATTGACGAAGTCCATCTCACCACCAACCTCTGTTGATGAGAGGAGTGAGCAGGTGGACTCCATATCATCATATCGTGCTCGATGCCTTCCAGCTATCCCTCAGAAAGACATTCGTACCACGGTGAACAAAATTTTAGATGCTACAGTCACACATATTCCTAATATCCTGCCGGACATGTCAAAGATCGACGTGCAATACCCAGAATTGTCATCTTTCATCCGCCTCTATTGTTCAAATGGCACAAACAGCCCATATTATCGGACTTATCGAGATCTCATTCAACAAATTGCTGCACCTGATATCGTATTGCAGCTAATACCAGTGGCAGCAATTGAGCCATTGCAACAACTGAGAGAACGAGGGAACCCACCAAACTGGTTACAGAGTATATGTCCAGCGTTCGGAGCTGTCATCAATGCACATGTAAATGGGCAATGTCCCATCCCAAATGACATCCGAAATATTGCAGGTTGGCTTGCAGCTCGTGCGGATGATGTTTACACTCGTTTAGCACAACATGAACCTAGTCCCATGCTTCAGCCCACATCTGAGCCATGGGAGAAAACAGGGACGTGCTATGGCTTACCAGAGATACGGAAACAATGTATATACTCAAAACTTCGGTATGACAACCAAGGACTTGATCGGGATGCAGAAGAAATGGGTGACTGCAACAAGTTTTACAAAACCTACTCCAAAAACAATCTCACTGGCGGCATTCTCGTACTTTGGTGCACACATTCTGTCTGTCTCGGCTTTCACTCTATCCCAGTTGCAGAAGGCCGAAATGATGTCTTTTCTGCAATCTACACCCGATTTCTGGTTGCACCAAAAGTCATAATTTATGACTTTGCTTGTCAACTTGCACCATACAGCTTCATTCGTGAAGCCCGCTATTTCCAGCACACACGGTTCCTTATTGATGAAATGTATGCTCATGATCACACTCGTTGTGGTAAAGCATGTTTTGCAAGCAATGCTATGCGATTTGATGATCATGTTTGTGCTGTAAACACCAGTGCAGCTGAATGCGGGAATAAAGGTATCAAGAGGATACGCAAAAGTGTCAGTTTCATGATTCACGATCATGCAGTACAGTACACCAAAGTTTTTCTTGATATCTGGAATCGGAACACGATCAATAGGATATATACCATGCATGCTAAGTAGATTTATTGCCTGTTGTGATTAGCCAGTCATAAATGTATGTACGTAGTAGCCAATTAAGTGATTGCAGTAGAAGTTGCAAGTAATGTATATGTAGATGTCCATTGACATCGTCTCGTTAAAACCTTAAATATTATATGCACTAAGTTCAAGTTGCTGGGTAAGTGATGCAAGCTGAGCTTCGACTGCCTGACGACGTTGCTGCTCAGCCAAAAGCTCGTGACTATGAGCCTCCTGAAGATTTTGGAGCTCATTCATGACTTGGTGCTTCTCAGCCTGTGCCTGATGAACCTCTGCATTGATCATAATAATGTCCTTGCTGCTCAGTACTTGTTTACGAACATATGCCATTGCCGTCTCATGAATGTCCATGATGGGACGGTGATCTCCCTTCGCATCAAAAGCTGCCTGTAAGGCAGGAGATATATGGATCACAGATTTTCCGTTCTTCGATAAGATAGATTCTGGTCTATAGAATGGCAATAGTAAGTAAATATGAAGGAAAAACAAAAGCACTCGTACCTTGCAATATATAGGAAAATGAATGGTCTTGACGCTTTGTCCAGATCCTCGACCTAGTAGGAATGATCACCAATGTTGAATGAAAGACATAGCATTCAAAACATACCATGCACACGAGTCTACTTGCTCGTTCACTATGAGCTTTGGTCCTATTACGATCATTTGCAATATACAACACTGGCAAATAGTCAGAGTCAGTACCATTCAGCGGTCAGCACAAAAGAACATGTTACCTGAGCGACGTCGTTTCTTATTCAGCCGCTTGCCTTCAGTTTGCACCCGCATGCCTTCAGCAGTGTTATTCCGATACTGCAAAGGAGGAGCAACGTCCCCTGCAACATCATGAACAAGTGTGAAGTCAGACGAGCGATATTGACCATCAACAATCTGATCTGGCTCATCTGCGCGGCAACTAGCAGGAATCAAGACATCACTATCAACAGCACTAGCACTCAGCTCCAGCGTGACATCAGTACCATGCACATTGGTATCCTCGCTGCTCGACTCAGCAGTCACACAAGTGTTCATATCTCCGCTGTTCATCTCCAGAGTTACACCAGTACCTTCAAGCATATCAAGTTCACCTCCATCATCACTGAGATGCCCATCCATCATACCCTGCATTGAACCAGCACCAGCATTCAGGAGGTCTTCGTGCACAGTACACATGAGAAATGAGTTGAGAAACAGACATAGCACGACAGACCTTCCAATGAATACCAGCCAGGAGGTCCTGACACTTTATCTGGCTCCTGCGTCTCAGCAGAGTAGCCCTCGAGAAAACGAAGAAAATCAGTAAAGTTAATGTCGCCATCATTTGACTCAGAGTTGGCAGGTTCTACCCCATCATCAGAGGGTGTCGCAGACGAGCTAGCCGCTGTATCAATAGCATCAAAGATGGGCAACTGAAAGGAATGTGAGTCGATCAATTCAACATCACAAAACATTGCCATCACTTACTGTGAGCAACAGCCCAGGGACAGAAACGTTCACTGTATCTACAGATGATATCACATGTGTCAGATCCCCAGGGGGGCTGCTCACATAAGACCGAGTCTTCTATCAAGCAAAGTCAATGATTATAGAAAAGAAAGCTACAAAAAATCCACCTGTCGCTTGGATGGCCTAGCACTATCATCCAGTATGTGTATGGGTTGAGCTTGAGATGCTTTGCGAAAAGGGCACTTGTGACCCTTCAAAGGAGGTGGTTGACCAGAGTCGTCAATACATCCTTTCCTGCATTTGGGGGCTATATTAAGGTCAGAATCAGCGTGTTATAAATGAGTCTGTGGGTACGTACACATACTAGTACTTGCACCAACTTGAAGTGGAGGTGGGTGCGCAAGGTGGGAGAGCACGTCAAGGTCTGACTCAAGGATAAGAAGTAGGCTAGATTCAGGAGGTGGGAGAAGACGGACCGTGGGAGGCAGGAGATTGTTGATGAAGACGAGGTGCAGCAGGTGGGATATTATCAAAGATGGCGAGCCACGGGAGGCAGGAGATTGTCGACAAAGACGAGGTGCAGCAGGTGGGAGATTATCAAAGACAGCGAGCCGCAGGAGGCAGGAGATTGTCGACGAAGACAAGGTGCAGCAGGTGGGAGATTATCGAAGAATTGATGAAGACAAGGCACAGCAGGTAGCAGAGTGTGTCGCAGAAGACAAGTGGGACAAGCTGGAAGAGGTTGTGCACGAGGGGCAGATACTATCCAAGGGAGACCCGTGCAAGAGAGTGTCAGAGGCAAAACCTGCTCATCGTGCTCACTGGCGAGCACAGTAGCAGCGTTTCGAGTGTCAAATGGGAAATGAACGCTTAATGAGAAGTATGAGAGGGTATAAAGAAGGTTTCAAAACGGAAACTCCCGTCGTTTCCCGATTCGGTGATCCTGGTAAAACACGGACAGGTCAATCCTTGTCAAACGCGGTGTTATCAGTCTTGGTACTTCCATCAGCGGTTATCCCGACACATTTGAAACACAGCAACATTCGTGCAAACCTTCGACAACACAACATCATAACTGGCGTAGAGGCTGGGAAGTCCACCCGTCGTCAACAAAGGAAGTTGAGGTGCTCGAGGAGAACACTTTTGATTTTGACGAGTTTGATCATGTTGAACAGGAATAGGTGATTTAAAATTATGAGATTTTTAACTCATTCAACGTCGATGAACGAGGTTTGACGCAGCCTTGACGTGGCATGGGGTAAGCCTGACATGGCACAGGTGAAGCTTTGAAGGTTGATGCAGTGTCGATGAGGTATGGGTGGAGGAGACGGACACGACATAGATGAAGCTCAGTGATACAGCGGGAACGAGCCTTGACACGCTAACATTCACTGGATGCAACCGTCAGTGCTACTAGAGGCAAGCACGGAAGGTGATGTACTGCAGAGTAACATATCCTGATTGTACGAGTCCATCCGCGTCCATAATTAGCACTTCACCGGGAATAAAATTGGAAAGTGTATCGAGCGAAGGAGCCTCTGATACTAGGAGGTATTTGTGCATACAGAGAGGGACCAGGAGGAACTTCAATACTGATGACTGAGCTCGCGCGAGGGCAAAGTAGAGTCATATCATCAGCGAACCGGAGGAATTTTGAGAAAGACATATATCACCATATATAGTACACAAACACCAACATCTGAATAATTCTGCTACTGACTGTTACATTGTGATATTTGACTTTATACAGGAAAGCCGAGGTTTCAATTGATGTGGACAGTTTTTTAACCTGCCAAAGACTCACGGATCACCTAAACTCAAGATCGAGGGTTAGGTGGGACAAAAGCTGATGGTCTGTCTCAATGAAATGTGGCTGCCGCATCCAGAACAAGGTCTGCAATGGCTAAGATAAGAGCTAATGGCCATACCTTGCAGATACTATCGGTATGTGCACCGATCGAGAGAGATCTGTATTAGATACTGATTTAGTTCTTCGGACTGGCTGCTTTGAATGTATATTATGAATCTTTGTGAGGCACTATCGGCTATTCCATAAAGTTGTTCTAACTTCTCATGGGCGGCAATTTGTGCAACGATCATCTTAAAACTCATTTGCATCCTACTTCTGATTTTTCGCCCGTCTGCTCTGAATATGCAGTTTTGGTGAGGTGGATATCATTGGCTAATTCTCACAAGATTGCTTGCGCTTTGCGTAGCCGCTGCTTTGTCATAGCACAGTCACTTAGCTAGAGACTCAAAAGCAGAGGCTTATGGTTCACATTGGTGCTCTACTTACCATTTGGTATATGTCCTGTCTATTTTGCCATTGTCAGTGAAATTGTGTATTTTATGCCTTACTTCACTAATGATTTTTTGTGTGGTTAGAAAGTGAGAACATCTGGACTATTCTACATGCCATCAGCGAAGCTATGATTTCAATATATTATACAGTTACTGTCGTTTCGCGGTTCCAGACTTGAATACTGTCACCGCACACTGTCAGTAAGGTTGTTTGTTCTAGCACCTTAATTTAGTAATTGTTTTCCATGCCATCCGGCAAGCCAGCGATACCATTTGCCATTCCTAACAATTATGCTATTGTTGGGTAATCCCCAGCTTTCACAATGAGATGGCCATGGGAACTAGAATATACAGATATCACTGTTATCACACTGTATTTTGTGACATTAAATGTCTATGCTTGCTGTTCAGGAAGGCTGGAAGATGCAGATATCACTGCTGCTGAGCTGTATTTTGTGACTTCGCACTTCCTTGCTTTTCGCTGTGAACTGGTCGTGAGAATTAGACGGTGCAGACATTACCACTGTCGAGCTGGATTTTGTTACTTCGCACTTCTCTGCTTGATGCTCCGAGATGGTCTTTGGATCTGAAGGATACAGATATTGCCCTACTCGCGCTTCGATTTAATTACCTCACACGTCTGTGGTTTCTGTCTGAGATGCTCGTAAGAATTGAAAGGTGCAGATATCAGCGCTATTGAGCTGAATTTTGTCACCTCGCGCTTCTGTGCGTTTTGCCCTAAGATGGTCTTGGGAACTTGAAGGTAGAGATATCACCATTCTCGCGCTGTATTTTGTTACTTCATGCATCTGTGCTTTCTGTCTGAGATGCCCATGAGAACAAGACAATGCAGATATCACCACTATCGAAGCCGCATTTTGTTACTTCGCAGTTGTATGCCTTTTTCTATGTGATTGGGATGCAGACTAAGAATACAAGTCGCACTGCATTTCCTCAATTCTGTCCATGAGGTTCACAAGATCTCAAATGATTGTATGGATACCAATAAAACTCAATTGTTGTTTAGATCATCTACCCGGGCTTGTAATCAAGCAAAAGACGGTTAAACCATGACATTAAAACAGCAAGTCACTAATGTAATATAGTTAAAAACGAGAGTCCGACTATTCGGAATCGAAGAGGGCATCATCCTCTTGCACCCTCTGCCTTGCGAGAGCATTTACGGACATGCTAGACTTGGCTGCATCGCTGAGTTCTGCACAATGACTTGTTCCAAAGACCTTCCTAGTAAACAGAAATCTGAGTCAGTTGGGGAGCGTTGAAACTAGAAATAGTGTACCTTGTCCACCATGCGAGGAGTCGGTCAACTTTTTGCTGGGCTACTCGGCCAGGGGCTTTCTCGAAAAAGTCTACAATGTGATACCAGAATTGTACATAATCGAAGTCACCATCAACTGAGCACCATGAAGTCACAGACGAAAGTGCAAATCGTAACTGTGAGCATAATATAACGTTGTCAGAAATCAAACAAAGAACAAAATCACTTACTTGGCACGCTACATATGCGATTGAGCGCGGCGAAACCTTATGCATCTTAATGATTTGCGCCACATGGGTCTTGACTTTTTTGCCGGAAAACTGCCTTTTAGCGTGTCTATTGTTTTCAATAATATCAGCACCATCGCCTTCACTGTCAATCTCTTTTGCGGAAGAGGGAGAAGTGAATATAGACTTGAAGGCCTGCTGAAAGTCAGATTTTCGTCGAGCTACTTAAGTACGACGCACCTGGACCAAAAGGGCACTTTTGAAGAGACCCTCCTCCAGATTATTCTCATCGGCGGTGTATCTTTCATACAGGAATGTTGGCCAGGACATTTCTGTCACGATATAACCATCAGTGCGATCCCTAATTCCCGCTCTGATACTAGCAGGTAGTTAGTGAGGCATAATAAGGTCCTGAGTACAATAACACTTACGTAGGGTTATTCCAGTCCAACTCGGTTGGACAGAGTAATTTTCCGCACGTGTCATTAACAAATCCACGGCTGTACTTATCCTCGTGGTCGACTGGCGGATTGGGTTTGAATGCGCAATTGACCCAATCTGGGACAAGGCTCTTGAGCTTTGAAGTGTCGTCTCCACGAGCACTATCGGCCCCCTGCCTAAGCTACATAATGACTCAACAGAAAGTCAATTATTTATACTACTGAAGCATACCTTTTTTAACATTTGCACGGAATCCTCGTACTCCATGGCTGAACACTTTGGGTGAAACCACGGGAGGAAGTTGTTAAGGATGATATATCCCATTTGTAAATGATCCTGACTGTGATTGACAGACCCGTGAGTAGCGTTCATGATGCGGGGATGGACTCAGGACTTACTCGATGGTTACCTCGTCGTCTCCGTTGTCGCATCTCCTGTCGTTCTCAGTTATTAAATCTTCAACGTTGTCAAACAATGACACTGTTCGTCTGATGGCTCTTCCCTGCGACATAAAGTAGTTGGTCTCCCTGCCGGTGGCAATCATGGTGAGCCAATCTAAAGGACTTCAAGGTGCACATACCTTTGTTTCACCCTACGTCCGGACTCGAGAACTTGCAGTTTCTCCTCTAATAATGCAATTTTCTGCCTCTGTTGAGCACTGTCGGATGTCACCACCGCTGAGGACGTTGCTGCTAAGGACGTTGCTGCCGACTTGGAAGCTTCGGGTGTTGCTGAAGGTTGTGAGCCGCCCTCTACCTGAGACATGATCGTTTACAGTGAGTAAGAGAAGAAGATAAACCAGAGGACAGGATATGGATAAGACTGACTTCATGCAGCATCTGCTTTATATGATGGCTGTCCTTTGGCAGGTTCAGCGTCGGCAAAAGTAATTAGTAATTACTTAAAAACACATAGTACCTATAAGGGAACATATCAAAAAGTTAGCACGATGTAGGGATTCATTTCTGGCTAGGCTTGTAGAGACTGTCTTTACCTTACCTTATGTTGGCACTTTGTAGCTTACATAAGAAAGTTACCTTTTCACCAGTTCTACTATGAGTCTGAGTATTCAGCAAGTTTCTATCATATTTCCTCTTCTCTGAGCCTTGAGCCTGGTCCAGAAACCCTTTAGGGTCGAATAGCAGCTAGGTTCTGCAAGACCCAACATTGTTCAGACTCACCATCTGAATTGTTGTACCTTCAACGATAACGTCACTAGTACTGCTAGTAGCCAATGCAAAAAATTACCTAAATGCTGTAGTAGCGCTGTCTTGCTGGAGTTTCGTCATATGAAAAGGCCTGTTACAAACTGTGAATATACCGTGATCATAGAGCTCAGAAGAGGTATAAGACAGGTGTGCATGTCCATGTGTCGGTGGGGAGCCTTCAGTCGGAAGTTGTCGAGGTCACCGGAAACAAACTTTGGGGCAGATGAGCCTTATGAAAATGACCCGTGCCTAGTACTCCATAGTAGGTACGTGTAAAGCTTCCATATATAGTAGGCATACATAAGGCTTCCATATGTAGAAGGCACACATGGCTTCCGTACATAGCATAATATTCATGGGGCTTCTATATTTATCGTATGTATATAAAACTTCTATATGTAGAAAGCAGACATAAGGCTTCCGTATGTAGTACGCATGGGTCATTTTCATAAGGCTCATCACTAAAAACAGAAGACGGAGGGTTCACTACCGATTTAAGAGCCCACCAATTTGAAAGGTACCTTTCAGGAAACATACTGAAACCAAGTTATTTTAATATGAGCGACCTTGAGTTCAGAATAGTGCAAAAAATGCAGATATCATAGCGAACGATGTGCTTACCCAAGAGACCTTGTTTTCCGGAGCTGAAGTTCATTTGTGGAATCTAGATAGCCACTGTTGACGTGCTGAAATTACTAGAGGCAAGCTTAGGAAGATTTCAAAGAAAAGGTACGCGTTGTGATACCAATTTCTTTTGCCATCAGCTACATTTCAGAGAGCCTTGCTCACATGTCTCTATTCATCTTCGCATGTGTTCCCATAGAGAACTCAGTAATGAGAACAATGGAGGGGTTACCTGCATGTGTTCATGTCAGCCATCCCATGTGTCTGCAGTTTAAGGGCTCACCGATGAGGGCAATAGCATTCAACACATCGCAGGATGCAACGTGGAGAGCGTTGTGCTCCTTATCCAACAGCTGGAAGACCTTCTTCAAACAACGGAATCCTTTGACTTGAGGTGGTATGACGCCTGGCTCTGCGAGGAGAGTGCTGATGGCAAACTTAGCGAATCCTGTCCAAAGTTTCAGAGGGTGCTTTTGAAAGGTCCTCAGTCAAATCGGGGAACTTGAACATGACTTGGACACGTATCTCTGCCCGAGGTTTGACGTGAGAACAACAGGAGTGCTGCACTCGGCTGCCAGCTTGCGGCCTGGCATGGCCAAAATGACTATGTTATCGACCAACAGATCAGCTTCGTCCAACAAACGAGTGGTAAATTGATCCGGTCAAGGTGAACAGACGTCAAAGTCCTCCACAATGCCCGGCGGGATGATAGATCGACGCTGGATGTATACTCATCCACAAGGACAATCCTGGAACCTCCAACAAGTCCAATAGTGAGCTGCAGATTGCGCTTCTGATCATCCGAGAGTACTGACATTGGTGTGTATCTTTTTGCCGAAGCCTGAGATCGCAGTCGCACAGTAGTAGTAGGAGCTCGTAATATTCGTCTTCGCCGTCTATCGATTGAGCACAATAGTAAGAGAGTTCGGGCAAACCACACCTTTCTGAAGCATGATGCCGAGCGTTCTGCGGGGAGGATGAGAGACACCACTGTGACTATCAAAGGTAGCAGTAACAGTTCCTGTGATGTCCGAGGTGATTTCCAATGATTGGTAATGATATCGTTGACTTACTGGTGCTATCACTGCATCCCCCTTCCGAGTCTTTCCAACCTGCCAGAAGTAAAGGCCCGTAGCAAGACCAGACAGCTGCGTAGATATACCGTGAATAGTAAGCAGGACGTGGCACGAGGGAGTTGCAAGTGAGACATTCCCACAGGGCAACGTAAATTGCAGTAGCACTAGTAGGCACTCCACTTAGTATTAGTATGTATGAGTTACATAGTACAATACACATGTTGTTAAATCCAAATTGTATCGGATATCTTTATATACCTATAGTGAAATAGACATCTTTAGTTTCAATCTCGTGGTCACGGTATTTGAAGTATTGGAAGACGTCTATAACTGCCTAGTAGTAGTATCACCGGGAGAGAGGAGTGAATGATTATTGCCGGTCGAAAGACCCCAACGTTCATGATAGCAGCTAACTTAAAAGAACTCCCAAAGCTAAAAGGAGAGTCCAGGCTTGGAGTCAGTGGAGCGATTCATTCAAAAAGAAAGGTCGTCAAACTCATGCTCTCCATTATCATCACCCTCATCGTCCTCTCCATCCCCCTCCTCATCATCCCCCTCCTCATCATCCTCCAGCTCCTCGTCACTAAACTCGTCATCAGTCTCCTCCTGTTCATCATCGCCCACTTCCTGTTCATCATCGTCCTCCCTGTGATCCTCACTATTACTGTCCTCTCCGTCTACAACATCCATGGCATTAGCTGGTGCCAGTGACTCACAGTCTCTGATCATCCTCCGCAGCATTACCGGGTGCCCGACACCAAAATGGGTGTACCGCATAAACATATCACGATCGACGAATCTGTCCCAAAAGGCGAGCATTAATACGTCATAGGAAAAGTTATACACTCACATCCCAACGTAGTGCTCATTCCAATTATCTAGCCCCCCCTCGGGATGTGCCAATGATTTGCCATAGCGAAGGGAGCTTGTACCACGTCCCGACACAAACACGGGAATTAGATGAGCTCCTCAAACTACCTGCCTGGGATCAAGAAACCCAAATGCATCAGGGTCCAATTCTTCGACAAATGCAGCCTTGGAAAGACAAGCGTGTCTTATGCCAGATTTATAGTTCTGCAGTGGAGCTAACCATCTGACCCAGAGAACTTCAAGATGTTGCTTCACAGGTTGACCGTCATCATGGATCCATGTTTCCAAGTGATAGATGCCCAATACACAGGCATACCAGTATGGATGGCTAGGTGTCGTCTCACCAGAAAGCACCATAATGTCAGCATGCGTCCAAGGGTTGATGGTGTCATATTCATGTCTGAGGTCATATGTGGTGTAGTGAACCTGCATCGTCTGGACTGCGTAGATCGTGTTGTTAGGAATGATCACCGAGTTGTGTTCTTCGTCCGTGAATGTGTGGTCCCAATAGGTAATATCTAGTTTCCGCAGCCTGTAAAGGACGTGGTCCTTGAATTTTGGTATAAAATTCTAACAACTGTCATGAGAAAATGTAAGGCGAATCCCTACTGCAACAAGACATTTACCTTAACAGCTGGATCACCATTGTTTTCTCAAAGGAATGCGAATAGATCGACTGGATTGCTCTGATTGGTCGCGATTTGGTGATGAATTCCATCCGACGTTGAAGGGAGGACATTGGCAGGTGATTGAATATTAGAGGGTGCTATACCTCCTGCTTCTGCCACCCGACGGAGTACGCGATGCCTACGCTCGTGCTTGGCCAACTGCGCTGGTGTATCTAACTTGCTTGTCAGCGGATAAAAGGCTTTCAGAGCTCTATGAGCGAGCTCCCCCTAACCAAACTTAACTTCATGTAGACAGTGGGAACGTATCAGGTGCTTACCATTTGAGTCGTGAAAGAATCTGTGGTTCCAAAGAGCCTAATGGTTCTCACATAATCTGCCATTGCATGAAATTTGTATGTGCTCAAATTGAACATCTTGACCCTCGGCCCATTTGATTCTAGAGAGACGGTATTAGTTTCGGAGCATTGAGCAGACCTTCATTGGCGAGCTGCCTTCTCTTTTGACAATTCCACCATATTGAAGGCAGCACAGGTATCGCATCGAAACTTGCGAAGCTTCTGAGAGAGAGTTTTGAATGTCTCTTCAAGAAAAGTTATGGTAGAATCTGAGTGTATTCTGAGTTTAGTGAGCGCATGCCACTGTGCAAATCGGTATAGCAAGGACTGCACAGCTGTATCGTGGTCGGGGGGGAATAGTCCTTCGAAAACCGGAATAGCACACTAACGATGGAGAGCACGTCAGCGAGCTTGATACAGAACAACAGATAGCACAAAAACCTGTAAGATATCCTCAAAGTCGCGCGCGGCTAATCTTTTCATCTCCGAGGTATTGTTAGCGAACTTTCGAATTACGCCATTACCAAAAGTCGGAACCTGGCGAAACCTACAATGAGATTGCAAATTAATTCTTGTTAGTAGATAGGTAACAACAACCTGCGTACCTGGTGTCGAGTTTAGCAACCAGCTGGCTACCCCCAGGAAGGGCGTAAAGAAGCCTGATAAGGTGAGTAAAGAGTGCCTTCCACATACCCAATTCGCATTCATGCATGAAGTCAACGACGAGCATGTGGAATGGGTCTAGGCCGAGTGAGCCAAGCTTCTCAGCAAATCGATTCTACGAGTAGTTTGTATGAGCTTATCACAAACCGTAAGGAATCATTTGCACTTACTATAGTAGGTACCCATGAACCATATCCAAGGGTGCATTCAACCTTTGAACGGTCTACAGTATTTCCCTCATTGTAGATATACTCACGAGCCCTGACAACCGTTGCAATAGCGTACACTCGGAGATTGTATAGACGACTTTTCATATCCTCTAACAGACCAAGAGAACCAAAGAGGCTTTTCGGCGTGAGACACCGAGGGCATGCACATAAGCCCATATCTTTCATAGTCGCAATTAAAACCCTAGAAATTTATGAGTAATCCAACAGTTTTGACTGAGGCGAAGGAGGGCAGTACTTCTCCGGATAATCAGCTGAATAGGTGAAGATTCGGGGAAATATCCTCCGCAACACTCCATCAGCACATTTCAAAATAATACCGTGTCGATATGCATCAAGAAAGTCTTCATCAAGCATTATGCCCCAGCATGCTTGAAACAGTTCCCTGCGACAGTGGGTGTGAAGCGACATCATGCCAGTCTTTGATATGCGAGACAGGCCACTCAGCATATCCTTGATGCTGTCAGGAAGCTGACAAGAACCGTTGAGATGTCGTTGGGGCTAGAGCAATCAGGAGGACTCACCGAGGGCAGAAATCCGACTAGATGGCATGCTCCTGATTGAGGCAATGATCGCGTGTACTTCATAAGATTTCCGAAATACAGGTAAAGTGGCCAAGCCTTGGCCGTTCCAAAGTTTGCTAGGTGCGTGGCATCAGAAAAAAACATGAGACCCGCTATGACACGTTCCAATGAACAACCAGGCTCTTTTGGCAGCGTCTGGAGATTGTCCTGAGCCTCCATCCAGGCATCAGACATGTAAAGTTCATCCAATAATCGCTCCTGAGTGTCGTCCAAAGGATCCTTCCATAGCCGTTTAAAAGGTAACAGATGAAATGCGCCGGCTTGGACATCTGAAAATGCTGCGCGAATTACTTCGACAAGAGGATGATAATGAAATCCAGGGATGGTATATGCCTTGGGTCCTTCTTCCTTCGACTTTGTTGGAATATCAATGGTGACATCTGTTTCAATCCAATCGTCTGGGAAACTGACCTTCTCCACACCCTCGGCCGTGTCCAATTCTCGCAAGCTTCTCCTCACAGAGAACCCCTCAAGATCCTTGATGTCGAAATCGTCTGCTTGTAGGATATCTCTGACCAGGCACTGAACCTCAGTTTCTGATTTTTAGTGGCTCCCTGAGTTCATCCAGGACATGAGGCGATAAATGGTCATGTTAGGAAAGGGGTAGGGTGGAGGTAAGGCTACCGGTGGTGAATCTGTTGCTGGGGAGAAAACTGTTGGACATGATCTCACAAGTAACGAAGACGGAATGTATGTATTGGGCTCAAAAGAAGGACGGCGGGGATATAGCCAGCAGATTCCAATCGAACTGAATGCAGTCTGGAGCGAGTCTCTTAGAGTTAAAAGTACCCGTTTGATTCTAGATTGGGCTGGGAGTGATGGGGCATTAACGGAGCCCTTAAGATCCTCGACTGAACACAGGATATCATCAAAAGGCCTCGGAATGCGTCTCCTTCGTAGAAGCACTGGTTCTTCTAAAATAGTCATGTGTTTAGCAGACATCAGATGCAGCAACAATGAAGTACAAACACAAGTTATCATAGTCAGATCCAATATCAAAGTTGGAGTCTTCCAAGTCCATCGCGACTTCAACATAGTCAAGGTGTTGTCCATGTGCTGAGTCCGAATCAAGAGGGTGGTGCAAAGCAGCAAGCTGAGTGAGCCCACCGGGGGCATCGGATAATGACACCCAAGCAGGGTTTGCTAGAGGTTTGCAAGCGGCAATTGGTCTTGGACGAGCCCTTGTAACATGGGACCTCACTGGTGCGATTCTCTGTTAAAACGAGTTGTAAAATATTGTATGGTAGTGACGGTACTTCCGAGTCTGTTGAGGTCTTGCGGAGACTCGGGTTCCCATTCAAAGTAGGAGGATTACTCACTCGCGAGGTGTTCACTGACTGGGCAAATTTTGGAACTAAGGTTCCTAATGTTGCGTCTCTTGCTTGTTGTTGTCTCTTCTGCATTGCAAGGATGGTAGACCTTTTAAAAAGATGGCAACTTGCGCGGTGCCTACTAAGGCCTCGATTGTCTGTTGTTTTCTCCCAAGAGCAACCAAGAGCACCGCAAGATACCATTGCAAACAACAGAAGCAGGATAGAGAAAGATTCTGAGAGCCGCATGAATACTACTTGTTAGCTTCAGCTCAGGCCGCCATAGGGTCGATGAGTCGACTGTCGAAGTACTTATGATTTTTGCAACTTCAAGTTGATGACTGTTGATCAAGCCACGGACCACGGTTGCTCGTACGTATGGTAATTGGCAATTTGGCATACTACTACAATGTTGCCTTATCTGGACACTTTCCCGCAAAAAATCTTCGCTTCGAAGCAGTTTCACAACTCAGCAACATTGCTTCCTACTCCCTGGGAAAAAGTACTCACTCTAGATCTGTTTAGTGGTAGCAGCAACTCCAAGTTTCGGGTCACTCCATGATAACAAACCCGAAGTTCATGTAAACTGGATCTGAGTACTGAGTACTGAGTCATGGTAGCCCATCATTCCACTACTGGCAGTGCTTGAACTCCCATGATGTTACTACTGAGTCCGACTTTCCTACTATAGGGTGTGATCAGAACCCAATTTATTCCCAAACAGGTGACAAGGTTTAATTCACTGCGGTGCGTGTTACCTACATACTACGGAGTGTCAGAATTGCCTAAACTAACCCTTCAGCTTTTTTGGGTGATTATGTCCCTTCCATATCATATTAATATCCCATTAGTAGGCATGTCATAAAGGTCCTCATAAGCATTTTTAGACCAGTTCGCCTCCCATAGTTTGTTTTCCATCACCAGGGCAAGGTCACCTAGCACATACTCATCATGCACCCTTGTCTTACACCTCCTCCGAGCTCTACTAGAGGCTCTAGTCCTGACCATCATGTCGATAACTCGGAGGCCAGAGGTAGGCCCAGTCACAATTTTACGGGCCTTTCTCTGAAGACACTCCAGCAAGGCAGGCCTATGACTCAAACTCTCCGCAGAACTCGAGATTTTTCACCAACCAAACCCATCAAACGTCACAGGTCGTTATCACCATCATCTTCCAACACCGAGGACGACGATATCAATGCACCCGCATCCCTTCCCCCCATAATCAGCTATTTGTCTTTTGTTGTAAAGCGTGCAAAGGCGAAACATTCGGACAATCCCTCCGGCTATTGGAGACGTCCCAGAATGTTGGAGCTCCGCTTCGCTGAAAGGTATATTGGACCCTCTGATATGGTACCAGTAGATGTTGAGAGAGTATGTTTATTATTTATGTAACGGCTGAAACATTGATTGACAAACATTGTACCAGGGCAAAAGTCTAGTGGAGCATGGCTTGAGAAACATGTCTTCTGAGGCTGTTGCTCAAGCAGTCCTCACGAAGGAAGCTGATCTTGAATGGAAGCGATTGCGCGCCTTAGCCTCCGCTTGGGAAATTGAAGTTTCTCAGTGACACACAAGGCTTCTTCAGATACTTCTCGAGGATGAAGCTGCTTGCCTTGCCAATGCCTCGAAAGAACCTCTAGCCATCTCGTTAGAATCACTTGCCAATTATAGCATGGAGGAGCTCAAAACTCGCACAGCCTTCAGTATTGCAGCATATAGTCAGGATAGGACATCTTTCATTGCTACTGACGCACAGCTTGATCACCTCGAATTTCTTGCTCATGAGCACTATCTGCCCACGAGTGATGAAGACACCTTTGAGGTCAGTGCTCGTGGGCAGGAATCACAAGCAGGTGATGAGGGTCGCTTGCCTGCAAGCCCAACAAACTCGGATGCAAGCGCCATGCTTTTGTTACAGTAACATGGCATGAGTCCCCTGCCAGCAGAACAGCCCTCTGCCACCGCACGGCTATAGACGATACCGGAGTCTCACCAGCTCTATGACGATAGATGACGATAGATGATGATAGACGATAAGCGGCAACTGCCGGCTTAGATAAGCGGTCTGGACTGCACATGACGACACATGACGACATAGGTCTAGAAGACCTATTTATGTTATCAAGATAGAAGGCAAGCCTCGTGCTGCCTCATGTACTGATAGAAGGGTACCGCATGGACCCTATCTACGATAGAAGCCCGCCTCATGGACGCTATCTCTGACTCATGTAGATAAGCAGATTAGAACCCAGCTTTAGGCTGAGCTTAGATACGAAGAGTAGCCTTATATAAGGTCGAAGATTAAAGTAGATGTTCCTTACTTTAATCTTACTAGGTTTACCCTTGAACTCCTTGTCCCGCTAAAGCTACCTGCTCGACATCGACTCGTACCTTCAGTGACGCCTCTCACTGTCTGTAAACCCTGCTATCATCTCAGCGTAACCCCTCGTTAACCACCACGAGCTACGTTCGAGTACGCAACCTTTGCTTGTCTGTAAAGGCCGACGACTCTCAGCACTCAGTACCACTGTCGTGGTTGTCGCTGTTAGATTATCCTAGTCGCACACGACCGTGTGTCGTAACAGCTTTCGGATGAAGATCGTTCTAGCAAGTCAGGGTCTCGGTCCGTGTGTAAAAGCGCAGTGAAATGTACGGAGTCCCACCGCTGAAGTGATTATGAAATTGATTTTCTATTACCGAACTCTTATTGATCTTGCGTAACAGATGGCATGTTTGGGCTGTAATTGTACTACTACACCCTTACGATAAAATTTTTCTATTTATGGAACTTTTGCGACCTGTAGAACTTCTTGCTGGCTGTAGATATCTCGTCACGGGCCGTATTATGTCCGATTCCTCATTTGTTCTCCTCTTTGTAGTACTAAAGTTATCTGCAACAGACGGTGTAGGGTATATCCCAAATTGATCCCAGAACAATGATTTCTCATTTTGGTTGTGGCCCAGCATCCTAGAGACCTAGAAGGGAAACATGATCATCGCATAATCCTGTGAGAACAAGTGTGAAAAATACCCTCCATAATGGGTAAACAGGATGATCGGATCGAATCTGTATGACCTGCCTTTTTTAGTCAATGCTTTAATTTACAAATAATCACGCTTCACAACTTATTTCAACTGCATCAGGAGCCTCAGTAGCATGTACTGAATAGCGACGTAAAAGGTAAGACTTGTGTACTAGATCTTTGACTAAATAACCAGGATAGGACTGATATTGACGGTGTCAGCCAGCCAATGGAGATGCAGCTTCAAGCACAGCCCGACTGCTTGGCTGCAACAACACGGTCATTCGCCGCTAGTAGTAGTACACTCAGGTTCTCGCCTCCATTCTGTCGAAAAACCTCTACGCTACCAGGCTATCACATCCCAAACTCGAAGGTATGTCATGCATTTATGCTTACTGTGAACGTTACTGATTCAATTAGCCTAGTACTACTAGTAGTAGCTAACGGCAGTTGAAACATGGATCATCATTATCAACAGTGGGAAGAATTTTCCAGACAATTGACTGCTGCCGCCCAGCAACCTATGGGCGGCAGTCACCCCAGTTTCAATTCTTTTACAGTGGCCGATCTCACCCATCACGACTTGAACGCATCGAATTCTGGCGTCCCGCTACAACATCGTGATCATGACAACTATGGCTATGACCACAGACAATCTTACAATCACAATCACGCCACAGACCCCTACAACGTTAACTTGAATGTTGTCAACAATCCCTACAACTACAACGCCGGCGACAGCCAGCAGCAGCCTGAATGGCCAGTACAAACTCCAGTATTCCAAAACCCTTCCAACCTACCCCCCAACCTTCCAAATCTACCCTTGTGGCCAATCCATGCTCAAGGACATGTCGGTTCGTCGTCGCACACTACTAGTAATCCGCTTTCGGCCCTTGAGGTTCCAACTCATCCTTTTGACTTTCCGCTTGATTCCGTTCACCAGAAGTTGAACCGAAGGCCCAGAGATTTTAAGCCTCAGCATGACTATTACACAGCAGTAGCATCCCGACGACAGTCCAACTCCAAACGTAGTACGGGCGTCGTACAGCCTCAGTCTATACCAGACTCTATCCGAGTCATTCAGATGATCGTTTTACCACCGCAGTTGATTGAACAAGTGAAGGCGCAGGCCTACACGAACATGATGAGACTTACATTTGAGAACACCTTCTTCCCCACCGATGACACTTTAACGGATTGAACGAATGAAGCGCTCGATACTGCAGTCGCTCAATATGCAAACGGTAATTTCCTGTCCATATCCCCGCCTTGTGACTCATCGACGAAAAACAGTGGAGCTCCGTAAATGGAGAAAGTGTGCTGATGCGAAAGGCGAAATAAAGAAGCTAAGGGGCGTCCCCACCACCATCCTCAACAATTTTATGGCGTGTGGACGCCTCGTGGTCTTTGTCGCGTATGAACTGGCATTGCCGATTGTTGAACACCGTGAGGGACAACCAATCGAAACAGCCCGCATTGACATGGTCAAGTCCTTGCTGTTGAACGATTCATTTCTTGACGGACTCTTGAAGGTATGTCGACCTTAATGTTCTCTTTCTGATTTGACCTTTCACGTCAGTTGCGTGCAGGAGACGGGACCGTTCAGCCATTCCTGGTACCGCTTGCAAATCGCGCGATCACCAATATTTTGGAAATCGTGCTGTTGGAGCAACAATACAGTCAATACATCTTCGATGGCTCAGACAAGTGGAAGTTGCGGCTCATGAATGCCTTCTCTCTCGGAGGAACAACGTGTAGGTGGGGTTTAAGACAACACGAAACAGGTGTTTTCATGCAAGCCGAGCTTAACACTCTGGACAATGCTCGATACTTTGAATACCTTACAGATCAAATTTCTCAAATTGATCCCACTAAACTGTCGTATTTTGATGCACTGCTCACTGACAAACACTTTGTATTGACGGGTTGCTCATCCTAGCATGTTACGATCACTAGAAATGTCCTATTTCCTCCAGCTATAGATCTTGTCATGTACATTGGTGTAATAGTACCTGATTTTGTTCGTTCCAACCAGTTTTCTAGTCATCTTTTGGATCGTCAATGTAATATATATCTTTTTTGGGATTCTCTTAGTTCACTGATGTTCATTATCATTCTTCGAAAGCTCACGCGTGTTCATCATCTGCGGTATGGTAAGGATACGGATACTTTCTAGCAATTTTTTCCTTCAGACTCAGACAGACTGTAAGGATGCTCAGTAGACTGGATCGTCCGAAATCATCCGGTTGTGTCCGAGTCGAGGTCGAGGGCCGTATGAACCGTGATGGTGCATTGTTCAAGATGACTAAGCTCTCTTCAGGCCAACTTGAACTACCAGTACTACTACTAGTACGGTTAGTACCTCAATTTTACCTGGCTCAACATGCAGAAGGTCAGTCAAACTGACATTTATAAGAACAAATAACACTAATGTTCAACATCCAATCAGCACTCCAAAGCACCTCGCCAATAAGATGAAATTGAAGGGTATAGTACATGTCTACAGTGACTCGGTGTGGCAAGTCTGTGGAAGCAGTGCCGAGATGAGAACGACTTCAAGTGCCATGCTCAGTCTGAGGCCTGTCTTTGCCAGATGCTTATCATTGGTGAGAATGCCGGGCGACATATTGCTGATTTCTCAAACCAGTTCTAGCATGGTTGGTAAGGCGGTGCATAGCTCTGTTTCAACTGATGTCAATATCTAGAACCATGTTTGTCCCTCATTAGATATAACACGAGATATGTGCGCATCAATCAAGTCTACCAAGAATTCATTCAAGACAAGAATCAGCTTTGCATGAACGCCACCCTCTGCCAGGCTGGGTGCCTCTGATTGAGTTCGCCAAACATTCGGGGCGTTCAGGTATCGCGCGCGTAGACCATTCCAAGAAATGATGGTTTATTGCATAAATTGACAGCAGCCCGAAAGCTCTCGCAAAAGCAAGAAGCCTCTGAACTCTCCGAGTCAGACTGCCTCCTTCTCATTCAAAAGAGCCCATCATCTCAATCAGCCAACTCCCTTCACAAAACTTACCACCAGCAAAATATCTGATTCCGTTACAGGAGAAACAAAAGTCTGTTCACACTCACTTCTTCCACTCTCAATCTTACTTTCTTGCTTTTTAGAGTGTGTATGGAGTTTCAGACACATGGCATGCCACCGACCGATGCTCACTTCTCTTAGTAAGCACTACTCTGTTCAATTTTGTTGATCGTACACAAGTCAACTTGACCTGGTTAGCAGCAGCTGCGGATCAGCATCGATGTAAAGTATGTATTCCTTGTCTCTTCAATACAGCCCATCACTCACTCTCTTAATAGGACGCGACATTGGGGTGAGACCAACCCACAACTCCATGCAACCACCCGCAATCCCATCCATATCCATATCCGGTGTTGGCCAGCGCATCAGCCTCACATCCTCCTTCCCTCCCAAACATAGCCGTCTCCAGTACACCCGCCATATCGCAGAGTCCCCATACCTCCAGTCCCATGCCCCCACCATTGTCTGCTCCCTGCGTGTCAAATATAATCTCCTGATTCATCTCTACGAATGCCATACGTTTCAGCATCCCCTGATGACGTATCTCATATCTCAAATCCCTAACTTCACATCTCTGCTGTTACCTCAACAGGTGCAGAAGCCCATATGCAACAAACCATCAGTCCCATAGGAGACACGAGCACAGCAGGAGTATATGACGTTCAATTGGAATGGTTCATGACGGTGTTCTGTTTCTGGGTCCTAGGCATTGGGACGCTGATCATCACTTCGATATTATCTTATTATTTGTTTTCGCGGCTCCCTCAGAGGTGTGCTTTACTTTTTTACTCTTGACCCTCACACATTGCTTTCAATGCTACTGTACTTTATGATTTTTTTAGGTTCTGTTCTGTATTTTGTAGAAACCTCATTTTCTATGAAAAGTTTTGATCGAACGAAGGTCCGGGGCAGGGCTGTTGTATTTTTGTTGGACCATTACTAACTGGAGGCCAGCGGCATTGCCACCATCTGGTCAGTACTAGGTGTGCCAGATGCGAATGGCGACAGGCTCGTCTGAACTGGTCACGGTATCCTGCCAGAGTATCTAGTGTACTAGTACTATGGGAACGAGGCGGCCACAGGTCAACGCGGCAGTGAAGCAGTATGAAATGCACAGTGCTAGTATATGCACCTCTTGATCGCGCCCAACACCATCAACCTCTAGTAAATATTGAAGTTCATTTCATTCATGGGCCACACCACTCTGAGAGTTCATGTATACATAGCTTTAAAATTTATCTACTTGCCGAGTCTCAGCCTCTGCTAATTCAGTATGTACCAGACTTACTTTGTAAGATCGTAGTGATATTGAATGCACCACATCCAAAACTATGGGAGCTATGCATTTATTCGCCAACGCCAATGCCTGGTTGATCCATGTGAAATGCGTATTCTATCAAAAAGTCATAAATTACCTTATAGTCAAAATATAACAAAAGAAAAATAAGAACATTTGGAAAATGTACACGCTTGACGCTACCAGTCCTTGCAGGTAGCGATGGTGCAATGTCGCAACATTGTCGCAAACTCGCGTGCTAATTTAGATTTGACGAGTGATGCGAACACCACTTTCCACGAAAAAGCCTTCAATAGCCATGTAATTCACAACATAAATATTGGAGATGAGAATGCTCACTAAGAGGGACACACTTATGCTACCATCTTTTGCTGGCCAGCACGCTACAGCATCACAACCTTATCGTAAACTCCTCACAATAATCTAGATTTAGAGAAATTAATAGCTATGTACCAACAACTCAGATTTATCGCAGTATACATTGCCATATTTACCAGGAGAAGAATTATATTCTGTTGTAGTTCCCACAGCTATAATATCACGGACTCATAAATTCATTGATGCATAGTGGAGCAACTACATAGATAACTCTACTCTAAACATCAATGACTTCTAGCTCATCATATTCTATTGCGTAATGTGCTGAACCTACCACTTCATGATCAAACTTTGTGCTAAGAAAATAAATTCTATCCTTATCGACCCACACGTCTGCTAGCTCTGATTCAGCAGAACCAAACTTTCTGTCCAAGATGACCTCGACATAAGGCAGGGACATTATCAAGTTCCAAGGAGGCCAGCCAATGGGTTGGTCGACTACTGATACTGTAGACGGTTCTTTCACCACTCGACCCAGACCCCACCTGTTCGTCACAGCTAGTGGGCTGAAGTCCAAAATGTGCAATGTATACTCCACGTCACCTGAGGCTGACGTGCCGACTGACAATGCCTGCAAGACTCAATTCCCGCTAACATGAACTTTGGATTCATCTGAGAGCTCAAAAACACGAGTATTTGAAGGACCCCAGCACTCCCATGGTACTGGCATTGCTGCTGCTATTCCTTCAAGGTTGAAGAACATCCTCGTGGAAATGATGAAGGTCCTACTCGCTGCCATGGTAATGCATAGCAGCTGGTTTTGGAGATCTGAAGTGTGCATAGCTTGTTGGGCTTGTAGCTGTGGGGAGCTATCAATATAGTCCATCGGAAGGAAGCACTGGATATTCAGATATAGGCCGGGCATTATGAAGCATGCCAGCAATTGTGGCGTCTGGGACACATCCTCAATTGAATAGAGCTTCAACTCGTCGGTGACAACAAGCAACCTATTGTCTCCGAGAAAGCAAAAATCAATCGAGTTTGGTAAGTCAATTGTGCCACTGAGGACGCTCTAGATGGCGAATCAGCACTCAGCCGTCGAGTCTTTCAGACGTTTTCTGGCTATGGCTCACATTAGATCTTGTTGAGTGTTGCCAGTCCCAAATATGCAGCTGCCATATCTCCTCCTCGAATGGATACACAAATGAGCGGCACAGAGCAATATGCCTCCCAAATCCCTTGAGCTTGGCACTCTCTGCAACAAAGTATTCATCCCTGGATGCAAGCAGTATCGACGAAAACAATGTTTGTCCAGCAGCTTGGGGGTGAACACCATCCCTATCCAGGACTCTGAGGCCGATGTAGAGTCTCTCGTAGTCCAAGTCGAGTATATCAGTGACAGAACACGCAATGGCGATCAGGTTTTGTGCTGGATCCATGAACACATCAAGGTTGTGTGAGTCAGGAACTGAAAATAATGTTCCTGGAGACCAGTTGCGCTTGACTGTTTTTTGTGAGGGCTTTGGAAGTATTGGAATGATTGCGGCCATGTCCTCTTCTTTATCCCACAAGTAGATATGTCCATCTGCGACGAACTTTTTGTCAGGGTACATGTTCTTTGGTAGAGAGACTGTTTTGAAAGAGTTAGGGTCAACTTTGAACCATGCGTGAGCTTTGTCCCTCAAGAGTTGTAGGCGCTTGGAAACAGGGATGCTCTCATTGTCCGTATTGGGAACATGGAGCAAGTGTTGGCCACTGAGTTCGACAATGTACTGAAGCTCGGAAGAGGACATGTACGCCTGGCGAAGGGCCTTAGATACCTACAAGACAATCATCGTAAGTATATAGGACAATAATAACATCACCACAATTATAAATTGGGCTCATGGATGTACAACGAAGGATATCTCGGCATGAAAGAAAGCTCAAAATGTTGAGCTGTAGTTCTCTAGGAAGAGACAAAAACCCTGGTTTCATCTCGTGGCTCATTCTCTTAACAGATCAGAATAGTGTAAGCTACAAGAAGTTGGAGAAAGGACGTGCTCCGGCCTTGAGGCAATGTTTGCTGCTATGTTGGCTTCAGGCACCAAGCATTGGGTAGTAGGCGCCACGGGAATCACAAGGAAGAATGATTGGGCTATGATATATAGCCACATATACTTGAACTAGATAAAGGCCGAGCTTCGCCGGCAGCAACCTTGTCCCACAAGTGTCGTGTACTTATCGATTTTTGAGAGGAACAAATGGAATGCATGTGGTATACTACATGTACATCAGTGCTTATTAGTGGTACATTCAAGTTATGACAAAACTTTGGAGAGTGACGAGTTAGAGTCATGATCAAGAAAAGCTGGGCAAATTTGCTATCGTACAATGTGTTACTACAAGAGTGCATTTAGACAGTTTCCGAGTCTAACAAATCATTATGGTGAATCGTTGCACAGCTCCAGTTGAGAAAAGTAGAATTTACCTTTATGAGCCTGTTTCTTTCCTTTGAAAGGCATGTCAGATGCAGGGCCAGCACCAAGTTTGCGTTGTTTCAGTGGACTGGAAGGCATGTTTGATGGAGGTCGCAACACAATCATATCGCAAAGAACAGCATTGAAGATGTGACGCTTGGACTTTTTGATGTGATGGTGAAAAAATGCGAAATGAACTTCAACGATGGCACCACATAATTTATTCTCGTATTGGGCCGGTGGTATGAGTTTGCGGTCAAGGCCATATGCTGGGAGAGGATTGATAGTGTGTGTTTCCACCAGGTTTGCGAGGTGGGGTTTGCAGCGTTCTGCAACTGGCCAGTTCGCCATATCAAAATCAGATGTAAGGTCCGCAGTGGTGTCTGGTAGTGGGTAGTACTGTCAGTTGTACTAGGTTGATGTCTGAGACAAGGATATTTGGCTTACCGGTCAAAGTGTCATCATCTTCAGTATCACCAGCAAGTTGAGCTTCTGAGCTCTCGGTTGATCTCAACTAGTGATGAAGTTTTGAGTGCGTTAATTGAGAAATGAGAATAGTAGCTTACTGGCGTGAATAAATGGTGAACAAGTTTGATGGAATCAAGACCTAAGGCCGTATGAATGGTACTTAAGGATTCGGCATCACGTTCTCGTCGAATCAATTTCTCAAACCCCCACAAGTTGTCAACAATAGTGGAAAAATCATCCAAGGAGAAGCCAAAGTCTTTGTGACGAGTTGCAGTCAGATGGCATGATAATTTGACATCTGAGAATCTTCCATTGAACACATTTGCAGGATCAAACTGTCCATCAGGGGTGAAGTAAAAGTCCGTACGACTTATTTGGAATACTCCCCGCAGGGTAAGTTCATCAACACCGGATGTGTGTTTTGGTATCAAAACATCACCTTCACACCCTCCTTGAAAATATTCGACTCGAGGAGTGAGATTCTGTGTACCAACATAAAAGCCCCCGTCCTGACGTTGGAGCTTTTCAAGGACAGTTTCGGCAGATACAAGTTTTGGCATAACAGGTTTGGTCGAAGCAGAAGAGTCAGAGGGGGAAGATGTATCTTTGGATGTGGACGTGTTTGATTTAAGCTGGACCATGATTGGGGATCTGGGATAACAAGCAGATAACAATTCTGTCCATGCTTATATGTCAATTGATGTCAACCAGAAAGGACATAGATTGATATCATGATTACCTGAGAACAAAGTTTTGTACCTCCGAGGCATTAGCAGGGACACTGAGGAGTTCTGAAGAATAATCTACACTCAAAAAAGATCCATTCAGATACTTTGATATGATCCGATGTCCATGTCTAATCCTGAAAAGTATGTTGTTACGGAACTTGAGGTTTCAATCCGTGACAATCGGCATCCATTATGAATTGATGAGTGGAAGGATGAGGTAATACAATAAAATTTGAACAACAATAATGGAGCCGGGACAGTAATAGGTTTAGTTACTTATGTATCATCGAAGGCCGCCATGTGACAGTCTTGTGGGGAATCAGAAGTAGGAAAAGGCTGACATGAAACCACGTAACTTGGAATGGAGATGTAAAATTTTACTTGTCATCAACGGAGGTCAGCAAGACAAAGATCCAAGTAAGGGAGCTAGAGACATGACGAGGGATTCTTTCTTGAAAACATTTTCACTGTGGTACAATGGGGCATCACAACAACACTGAAATTGTCAGCGATTTGACAAAGGCAGAACTGCTCGCCATAGTTCCTGGAAATACATTCAAGACAAATATCAAAAAGCTGACATGGTCACAAATCATGGATAATGTGCGCAAACTACCAGACCATATTTTGGATATGATACGTCGAGCTGCAGAGGAGAAAGACAAGGAGCATGAGAAGGAGCGCGATACAAAAGCTGAGAGAAAAAGGATTGCTAGCAAGCATCGACGTGACGCACAGAGGAGTATGATAGAAGAAGCAGATTTTGAAGAGAATAGTGATGGTGTCAATGACCATGATTATTCGAAGTTCCTTGGATTGCCGTCAGAAGAAGAAGTAAAAAAATTTGCCGAGCATACATATCTGGGATGTCAAATGGAGCTCTTGCAATGTCAATTTGCATTGTTTGCGCAAGGGAGTTGATGAGCTGTGAAGGTGCATAACAGCAATTGTGGGAGAGATAAATCTAAATATTAATGCGAACTTTGCACAGGTGACATGCGCCATCTTTGTAGGATACCAAATATCAAGCGATGGCTTTCTGTATCAATGGGAACATTACCTGCTGCAGCAACGTTATGGGAGGGGTTGTTGTTGGTTGATGGACATGTTAAAGGAGAAGCACCAAATGCGACAGGCTGGGTCTGTTGTGAATGTTATGGATCGCTCGAGGCCGACACAATGCCCAAGTTTGCACTTGCAAATAACATGTGGATTGGTCCAATTCCACATGAACTTGCAGTCCTCACTCTCCCAGAGGAACTCCTAATTTCTCATCACTTTCCACGATGTTACATTTTCAAGTTATATCCAAAGGATACTCATGGTGCAAATCCTAGCCATTTGCAGCGGGGGATGGCTGGGAATGTCACTTTGTACAATATGAACACCGACGATGTTGTGAAGATGATCGAAGGCCAGTTTCTACCACAACCAGTTGCATCTTTGGCATCTGTGCTTGCTGTAATGTATGTTGGGACCAGGAATTTGCCAAAGGATTGGCTGAAATCAACATTCCGCGTTCGACGTGATGTTGTCTTCAATGCTCTTACCTGGTTGAAGGCGCACAATCCACTTTATGTTGATATCCAAATATCAGAAGCACAACTTGCACGTCTCCCAGAGGATGATGTCCCTCAAGAGATTATTTCTGTTGTCTGCCATGAGGCCAGTGATAACATTGCAATGCGAGAGAGTGAAGGTTATGTGGTTACTGATGATGGGATTACAAATAATGGTGCATGTTGTGCTTCAGTCAACATCATCGTATAACATGCTGAGATTTATTAGATGATGACATCCCGGATCTTGAGAATGAAGCTGAAGGATATAGTATTGGAGAAGATAGTGATATTTACGGTATGCATGTATATGGTTTTGAAATGAGCGAGTCACCGACAACATGTACTAGATGCACATGTTATTCCATTGAAGTTCTTAGGTGTCACAGACATGGAACTCAGCACATTGCCATTGAATGATTTGATGAAGCACGCACTCATGAATATTGATGGCACCTCTGAGAAGGAAGGAGGTTATGCCATTCGCCATAGCCATCAGCCTGTTTCTGATTTTGGACGCAACCAAGTTGGAGGAGAAGATTTGGATAGGAAGAATCCACTCGCTACAACATATCCTAAACTTTTTCCTTATGGTGTCGGTGGAATTGAGGATACACGTGGCAAATTCATCGGTTTTGACGAGCATGTGCGATGGGCATTACAGTATCACAATCGTCGATTTCGAACTCACCATTCATTTCCATTTGTCATTTTCGGCATGGAGCAGAAGTGCAAGGCTTTGCAATCAGCTCGGATTCAGATGCGTCGCAAGGACTTCGAGCGCAATGGATTTATCATCAATTCTGTCACAGTTTCTGACCTTCAACAAGCAGAGAAAGAGGAGGCAGAACACAGACCGATATCTAATCCTCGGGTTTGTCTTCTTTGGAAACATGTATTTGCAGTGTCCAGACGTGTCATGGGGTCTGATAATTATTGAAGTCAATATCGCGGTTTCATATGGGGAACATGTTTGTGTCTTCGTGGCCCAAGTCTTTGGATGACAATCAATCCAAGTGACACACATGACCCTGTTGCACAGATCTTCGCTGGGGAGCAGATTAATATGGATGATTTTTCCCCCGTTGCTGGCCCAGATAGCAATCGCAGAGCTCAAAACATTGCCAGGGATCCTTTCACCACTGCAAAGTACTTCTTCTTCATTATCAAGGCAGTGCTTTCAGCACTCTTCCAAATCGAAGTCAAAGGAAATCGGGTGCATAGTGGAGCCCCTTCAGTGACTTCACCCTATAGTGTAGGGCAGCCTGCCTTGACAATGCTCCCTAAGTGTCGGGCCAACCCACCATAGGCCCACATTAGAATGTCAACCCAGGGTCAGGGGTGGGCCTGTGGATGTGTTGTACCCACCTGTTAGGGCTGGGCCCATACTAGACTAGCCTCTATGTTCAGGAGTGGGCCCATGGGTGTAAGAATTAATAGTTGAGTATATTGAAGGGTGGGGCCACAGTGCAATGGAGAAGTAATGTCTCACCAATATCAGGTGGGCCCATGGTTGGATCAGGGAGTGGATGCCGGAAATTGGGTCAGGGACTGAACATTGGGAATACTTGTCGGTGATGATACATTCTTCACTAGCAAGTATCTACTAAGATGAGGGTTAGACAGGTGGACATCAGGAATGAGTACCGGCGACTGTTTATCAGCATCGGTGGCTGTATCCCGAGAATATAGGGTCGGCAAATGGATATCAGGAATGCTTACCAGTTGTGGTACATTGGCATTGGCCAGTGTATCCTGGGACGATACAGAGTATGCTTGCCTGAGATAATCCCTCCATGGTATTCTATGGGGAGAATTCATCACCGACCATCCATGGCACCGATGATCGGGTTAATATAGCATATGCTTCGGCAAATGTAATGCCGGTTCCGGTGGCGCAGCTTTGCAGCATGACAGTATATTCAATTACGCTGCCGACAGGCCAAACACCATGTGCCCTCTAAACCCGAAGTTCTTATTGTAGTCTGAATGCCAAGGATGGCGAATCACAATGGTGCAATAATGCACCTCCCGGTGTGCATATAGTAGCCCCTCTGCTACTATGAACTTACAACACACCCATCACACAATGTGGAAGCACAATGCCAGCACAGCATTTTAGCAGATTACCATGGGTGAGTGTTGCAGTAGGGCGGCAATATTATGACCCGGTGAGGTTGGTATACTGCTGCGGTGATGTTCATTAGCGGATATGCCGCCATTTGTGCGGCGCAAGTGCGGTGCAATTGATTATCAGGAAAATTCATGGTAGCAACAAACACCAATTATTGCACTGGGTGTTGCAGTAATGCAGCAATGTTACGACCCGGTGAGGTTGTATACCATTCTGCGGCGATGTTCAACAGCGGATATGCTGGCATTTTTGCGGTGCATTTGATTATCACTGGCGGCAGAACATGCAGCAATGTTCTGAACGCTGCTGCATCAATAGCTACAAGTACAAATTGTTCAATATCTACAAGTACAAATGGTTCCATAGCTACAAGTACAGTAATGGGTCCATGATGCTACCAACTATCATTCATGTGCGGTAGATGCAATTGAAGCCGAGTCTTCAAAATCCTGTTCCACAACAGCGCCAGAATCTTGCAGCAGCGCCTCACCTTCTGAGTCTCCACTATTAAAGGGCGACTCATCCTCCGGCGGGGCAGCAGTGGCCAGCGTCTCTGCGGCATCTGTCCTCATGACAACAGGAAGAATCTCTGCTGCTGGGGACTCAGCATCGGAATTCAACTCCTGCTGCAGTGCGGCCACCTGGTCGGCCAGCAGCTTGGCATTGGCCTCCTGCTCAGCAAGGCACCAGTTGGCCTCCTGGAGCAGCTGCTCACCGGTACTCACCCTATCCACCAAAGAGGCCACCATTGTTTGCAGCACTGCCAGATCCTCCTTGAGCGCCAGAACTGTCTGGTTGTCTGGCGCAGGAACATGCGTGGTGGCAGGAGCGGCGGTGGTGGCAGGGACGGTAACGGCAGTGGCAGCGACATTGCCTGAGGAAGCGGCTTCATCCAAAAGTAAGTATGGTATGATTCAACTATATAAAAAAGAACCTACCATCTGTGATGGCAGTGACATTCACCATGGATGCCCTGCGGCGTGACTTAGACCTAGTGCGATTAGCAGCAGGTCTCCTGCTTGTTGTGGGAACGGCAGATCCTTTGCCGCCGCACTTGTGTTTAGTGCGGTGGCAGCGCGTGCACACCGCGAGTGGGTCATGGCTGGTGTTGTAGCCTTAGCGGCAAATCAGCTGCCGCTGCACACAGCCGCCACAGCCGGGTGACCAGACCGGCAAGGTGGAGTCAGCGTAGTCGTCCTCTTGAAGTCCACTGGCTGGATTGGCAGCCTTGCCGCTACCCTTTGGAACAGGCTGTACAAAATTAGATGGCGATGATAATGATGATGAGAAAAATAAAACTCACTGGGATCTCAACATATGCTGCCCCCATCTTTGGTGCCGGACCAACAATCATTTGCTCCTCATCCAGCTCATCTATCTCCACATAGCTGGGGTCTGTCCCAGAGACAGGGTTGGGAACAGATTCTCTTGTCCTCTTGAGGACACCTTTGATAGGCTGGTATGAGGTCAGAAAAGCTCAACAAAAGAAACAAAAAACTCACCTTTACTGGTGCTGGTGCTGGCTCAGGCGCCGCCGCCGCATCGTCCAATTCCATGTCATCATCGCTGGTGATGATGGCCTTGGATTTGGTGCGTTGGCGCTTAGGCTTTGGAGCGGTGCTCAGGCTCCTTGTGCTCATGATGCGTCGCGGACGCTTGCCGCACTCCAGTTGGCGGCCACAGTCATCTTCAGATTCCCCTTCCGGGACTGCTTTCTGCTTACCTTTGGCCTTGGCAGAAGGGCCAGCAGCAGGTGCGGCAGGAGGCGCCGGTTGCCCATACCCAACAGTGAGTGGGTAGAGCGGGCTGTTCTTGGAGTGGGGATCTTCTGGACGGATGTTGGTCCAGACTGGGGTGCTCACCACCTTGCAGAAGGAGCCTTGTAGGTGCCATCGCCGACCATAAAGGCACGACCATCCATCAGGGAGATTTCATCCATGGGATTCGCCGCATACAGGTGCTCCGCTTTGAAATTGCCATCCATGACCAGGGATCTGGAATACAGCCAACTGGGCTTTGGCAGTTCAGATTCAGAGTTGGTTTCCTCTTGCTCATCTTCAGGGGGCAATGTCACATTGATGCCTGGCTGGGGACATGCTGGACAGAAGAGAGCAAGATCTCCAGGTTTCCTATCTTTGGACTCATGGCCGAAGCTGTTCCATTTTAACAGCTGGAGCTGCCGCCACTGCCTAGCCACCCTCATTAGCTCGCGGTAACGGTCCTGCCGATAAATTAACACGCCGCCACCTCACAAAGAATGGGCTCACCGGCACAAGATGAGGAAAGACAGATGTGGTCATCCTCCTGAGCTTATTATAATAATTCATTGCTGATGTCCCACACTCCAAGTTGTCCAGCAAAAAGTCGTTAAGGACCTAAAATGTGAAGGCAGTCTTGGGTTGGGCAAAGGACACTGGAAACAAACCCATCTGGCAGAGCTGAATATCAGCGGTCGGTGCATCGGCGCACCTGCAATACTTGATTTTGTGGGTGTGTACTCCGGACTTGTCAACTATGGTTGTTATTTGCTTGCTATTTTTGATGAACGGCACCCCAGTGGGTAGATCATTGGGGATCCAAGTTTGCTCGCCGGTCGGTTGTTCATCTTGCTCAGCGGCATCGGCAGTAGGCCCTGGTATGTCATCGGCATTCTCAGTGTCGGTGTCGGCAAACAGGTTGTCTATATCATCAAACTCGTAGTCCTGGCATGGGCAAGAATTTCCGTTGTGCCCCAGTGAGATCACCAAGCCAGTCTTAACCAGGCAGCTCTCCTCAAAGAATCCACCTGTCCATTGGCTGATTCGATGGAAGGGAAGCCTCACATGCTCCTTCCTGCAGCAATTTGTGCAAAAGAGGGGCTCACCGAAGCAGCCGTGACACTTGTATACACCATCAGTTCCACAAATTATGCATGACCGGCTGGCAGGAGCTTCCCGTTGGAGCAGTATATTGAGATACTCTTTGGTCCTTGGAATCCATTGCCAAAGATAGTCATTCTGACTCTTGAAACAAGCTGAACGATGGACGGGACACCAGATATTGCTGGAAGTGCTCACCAGAGACTTGGGTAGCTGCAGTGGCATGACATTCTGCTGGTCCACAGTCTCTGAAGTAATCTTTTCCTCCATGATATAGCATATCCTGGGATGGTTGCTTCATCGGCGATTTGGTAGGGGTGGCTGTGACTGATCTTATTTTCTGGATCTTGGGTCTCTCTACCCATTTCCCTGTTACTTTCCTGCTCCGGAATGTTTTCTTCCATTCCACAACAGAAATATTGCTGGTGGGTGTCCACTCCTGGACTTTAGATCCTCCCATCCTTTGACCCCGATGATGAGTGATTGAAGCTAGGAATTTGTTCACTACTGGATTGGGATAAACACCGAAGTCATGTATGTAACATGTTTTGGCATAGGTATTATTGCAGACTTTAACTGGTCATTTGATGGGTTTGTTCCTCAGGAGCAGCATCTCACATTGATATGATATCAGAGTCAGTTATGCATGCATAGCATGTGGCCATCTGTGCATACATAGAGCAGGCAATACATATTAAACTGACATCATCATTCATGTCGATCATGATTCCGAGTCAATAGCTATATCTGGAAATATGAACCATGAAATATCATTCATCTTGCTTTGATTAGCCCTCAAACTCCTCAGTTTCAATAGGATTATGTCAGGCCTATATCTCAGTCATATGTACTTGTAGAACAAGCAGCCAGTGTTGCACAAGGAGAAGCAATACAGGTCTGTATGCAGGTGGATCATGTAGCTAGATGTACATAATATGAACATTCTGGAAAGGCACCGAAAGAGCGACCTGAGTAGGGATCTGGAACCGATAATTTTCAACTCTCCGACCATCCATTTCATCAACTGTATAGTAACATGGCCAGGAGTGCATCCCCTGTCATCATGCCCCAGCAGACCAAGCTTCCCCTGATCAAGGCAGAAATTGCAGTCCTCCAGGCCCACCTAGAGGACTGGAGGTCTGTCAAAGGTAAAGAGCGGCACCAGCATTTTGAAGGCTGTACACAAGGAAGCTTGCCTTCAAGCTCCCACTCGGGACAAAGCCTTATTGAAAGCTCGAAAAAAGGTATGAACCAATGTATGATATATCTGTTTGCTGGCTATTTATTTATTACAACAGACTTACAAGGAGTGGTTGTACAACCAATGCCAGTAGGAAAGCCCCAAAGCCTCTCATCAAATATGGCAAGAAATGGACAGCTCACCTGTGTATTAATTGAGCAGAACAAGGCTCGTATTCGAGAGGAGACTGGAGAGATGCCTGGGAGTGAGGCTATGATTGTCAAGTGGCCAGAGGCTACCAAGACTGTCCTCGCCAGGTCTTTCAGCTGAAGAGAAGGAAGAGGCAAATGTTCTTGCAGATAAGTGGAACAACGAAGCTGCTCCAGGCTGAAGTCCAGGTCAATGTTGCTGAAACAAAAGGTGCTGATATCATAGAGCAGTTCGCCACTGAAATGTTCAAACAGGCAGGGATGAGGGTCTTTGTGATGTCAGCATGGCAGGGACAGCAGAGGCAAACTGATGTTAGGAGCTGTGAGTGATATCATCGGCTCTTGTTGATCAGAGGTCTAATATCTGATCAGACATGACCACAATGATCAATTTGGGGGAGTGGAAAGCTTCATGAAGACAAGGAATTGGGATGAGATATTCATGCCAGAATGGCGGCAATATGCTGCAGAACAATTCGGTGAGATGCCCTGCTTCCGGTCCTGATTGTTGTCCTAACAATCAGCAATGATTAGATGTCCAGGATGATGATGTTCCACAGGTCGTCACCTCCAAGAAACGAATGCCTAGAAAGCTCCTTGACCTGGAGGAAGATGATGATGGGTTGCCTATGCTCCCAGATACCATGGGTTTGAAGTGCGGCGAACAGCAGCATGTCATTCAGGTCGTTCTTGACCAGGCATTACAGTTGGTGGATGTCTCATTCACAGCATTGACCAGGTCTGAAGGTTTCACAGGGATGTGCATGAGAACCGACAAAGTCAAGGCAGCGCTGCCCTGGGGCGACTTGATTAAGAATCAATCAGATTTCTTCAATGGCACTTACTGGCCAGTGGACGTACAGGTGGTGGAGCCGTCTAAGATAGACAAAGCCAGTGCTACTGCTCTGTTGGATTTCTGGTATTATCGGCAGAACAAGAAGCTCCGTCCTACCTTCTGTTTCAAAGCTTGGAGAGACACTGATGGCGATATGGAGCCGGCGGCCAAGTCTTATCAAAAAACATCCGCCAGGCGAGCCGCCGCCGCAACAAGGCCCATGATGTCCCTAGTGAGGAAAGCTTGGATGAAAGGGAGGACCGTCAGTCTTCCTTTGATAATGGAGAGGAAGCATCAATGTCCAACAATGCCAGGGAACAAACACTGCCGGGATCAGTATGTGCTTGCCAAAATCTGTGATGGAATGCTGATGCGCCGCCGCCCTGTTACCGGTCAGATATTACATTCCTCCACCAACTCAGCAGGAGCAAGGCATACAAAGGCCCGTGTTACTGTGGATAAGCCGCCCGCTTCAAGGGCTGCAAAGGCCACAAAGGCCGCAAAGGAATTAACATCATTTGTACCGACCACACGTTCAGGGAAGCGGCGCGCCGCCGCGTCGATCAGTGACACACCAGCCAAGAGAACCCGGAGCAAGGCGGCTATAGTTGAAGCTCCAAAGCCAAGAAGGGGCAGGAAATGATCCTGGTCATCAGTAATAACTGTAGTGTAGTATGACAACTGTCCACTGCTGCTGTATATGATAATTCTATCATATCACCAGTGTGCTGGAGTTACATAGCAAGATGGCGCCACCTACCATTCATGTATGGCAGGATAGATCCATGTCAAATTGGCGGAGCAACCACAAACAAACTCATTGCTATTGTACATGAAAACTGGTATAGCCAAACCTGACATCTAACTATTGCCTATTTCCTACACCTGACTCCATCCACCCATATATATCTATTGCCAGGTTCATTGCCCACACCTGACGGCGCCCCGCCCTTGGTGTCGCCGCGGGTGTGAGTGCTGCTGGCAATGGTGCTAACAGATGGGCCGGCAGATGGACCACCCAACATGGAGCCACTGGAGATGTTGCCAACCAATGATGGCAGGTTGAAATACAAGCCTTCCATGGCCTGCATCTGACCCATGCTGACAAGCACCATGCTTTGACCGCCGCCATACATTGGGTTGGCAAGATACAAGGAGTTGGTGAAAGGGGATGATGAATTCGGTGGACCGGTAAGACATTGATGGATGGCGTTGTAGGCATCCTGAAGGACAGCGGTGGTACGTTCTTGTTGCCCCAATTGGTGTTGAGCACGTTGAAGGTGCTGATCTCTGGTGGCTGATTCTTCTCGCAATGTCTTGACTTGACTGTGTAACTCCGTTACCTCTGCCTGAAGGCCTTGCAATTCAAGGAGGGCGGCATCCTGAGCGGTGATCCTGTCTTGCAGTGCATTCAACTGCTCTGTGGTGGTGGTATTCTCGGCCGTAAGCTGAGCAATGTTAGTCCGGAGGGTGTTGGCAATCTCCTGAAGAGTCGCATTCCTGGCACTCAAATTCGCCGAGTCTTGCATCACCTCCAACGTCATCCCCTCCAACACTTTCATGAGCCCATCGTGAGAATCGTCCACATCCATCTGAGGATGCTGTATCAAGGACACCAATTGCGAAAGAGGTGGTGGTGCCTCACCCTCTGGGGACAGGGTTGTGATCGGCGGCACAGAGGTGGCCAGCGACGGCAATGCGGCGGCAGTGTCATCATCAGACACCAGCATATCTGAGGCAAGTCAGCGAAATGGTAACATCAAGATTGTAAAATTACCTTCTGCCATCCGCCGGTGGCGTGAGCGGGATCATGTTCGGCCTTGTTCACCGAGGTCGGCTTTGGCATGAGAACATTTAAGTTTTTGTCAGGAGCAATGGCCACAAGCTCAAAGTTTGGCGCCTGTGGTGCCATATCCTTCACGACAAATGAAGCACCTAGTGACATGAGATAAATACACGAGATTGAGGAATGACATGAATCACGTATGATTTCATGCAACCATCACATGGTGGAACCAGCTCAGGACAATCAGTGTCCTGCCAGATGTTAGCAAATCTTTAATCATATGCCGACGGACTCACCGTCGTGATATCTTCCTTCGGCGCATTGTGCTTCAGCGACACTGACTCTCGAGTGACTTTGGGCCATTTTGACGTCTTGGTCTATCAGGCACAAATAAATATACACTATGAATTCATGAGCACAAGTACTTTACCTGCATTGCAGTCGAGTCGGCAGGATGGTGTTGCGGTGCGCCGCCTGGAATTGGCGGTGAACTGGTATTTGACCCTTTCCTTCTCTTCTGAACTCAAGTTGGCCGACCTTGATTGACCTCAACAGCTTCTTCCTCATTCCCTGGAGGAACTACTGCCTTCCCTTTACCTTTCTGAGAGGAGGTATATGCCAGTGGTGAATTCCCTCAGGTAGGGCCTGGGTCATTTCCCTTCGACTCCTTCGACTCATGCGCCGCTTTGTCTTCGGCATTGGCATTGGCTTAGGCTTAGGCTTCACCTTGGCCGGCGCCGGCATGCCGGAAATGGTGGTGGATGTGTTCGCCGCTGCGGTAGGCTTGGCAATGGTAATGCTGTGGGCCTTCTCCTTCAATGGATGTTGCTGGATTTGGGGATCATCAGTTCGGATCCTAGCCCATACAGGCGCACTGGCAAAAGATTGCTGCGCCGCATCCAGGTGCTCCAGCATCTCCATGGCTGCTGAAAGCAGGATCGGCAGGATGGTTGTTGCCGACATACCATGGGTCTTGAATACCAGGGACTACTTGTAGTCAACACATCACCCTGCCCTGCTATTAAAAGAACACTCACCATCAGATCTCCAATTTCCACAGCCAATTTCAGGTGATTGGGATGACCATCCCTCAACTTTGCCGCCTTCTGTACAATTTTCATAAGCTGCTCTGCAGCATCACCCATGGCAGTGTTGGAAAATTCAGCATTGGGCATGGTGTGGAAAACAACTGCAAGATGGGAGATGAGGGCACTGATTCTGTATCTATACGAAGCAATGAAAATTTGAAGTCAGTCACTTCTCAGCACCGAACACGCGGCAAGGAATTGTTTGAGAATCACATGTTCCGCGTTTCGCTGGCAAGACGATCCATTGTTCTGTTGCCACAATTTTGCCACAATTTCAACTTCCACGATCCACAACCAGATCTAATATATAATCAGTTGAATAGAACTGTCCAATTCTCCATTATTCTCAAACATCACATGTCCCATCCTTCCAATCGCCCTTACCCAGGCAAAGTCCGATTTGAAACACCAATGGAAACCGACGAATCTGCCTACAGCAGTGAAGCTGGAACGCCACCGGTCAATGTCAGTGGCACTCGTGAGTTGATCTTTCCAACTTCGGCGATGGACCGTCCTAACTCTCAATCAGGTTTCAATTTAGAAATGTCTCTCCCTGTGACACAGCCACCCCCAGCGCCAAGGTTTAACTTTGGCATGGATCTCGACATGCCTGCGGCGCCATCTGCCGCACCTCCCATGCCGAGGTTCAACCTTGGCATGAACTTGAGCATTCCTGGCTGCCGTACCGCCTTCATCACCGGTGCTGCACACCCAGCAACCATTCAACCTGGGGTTCACCCTTCCTCAGCCCGCACAGCAGCCAGCCCCCAAGCCGTTCAACCTGGGCTTCAATCTTCCAGGTCCCTTCCAAGGCTATGCCGCCGCCGACCACATCTTCCCAGCCATTCAACTTTGGCTTCAATCTCCCCCATGCCACCCCACTGGCAACAAGCTCTGGACCGGTGCCTGGCCCAGGAGGATACCTTAAGGCATAGCCTGCCTCAGCCCACACAGCAGCCAGCCCCCAAGCCGTTTAACCTGGGCTTCAATCTTACGCCGCCTGCCGACCACATCTTCCCAGCCATTCAACTTTGGCTTCAATCTCCCTCATGCCACCCCACCGGCAACAAGCTCTGAACTGGTGCCGGACCAGGCAGACACCAGATACCTCAAGGCATGTAGGTTATGACATCAACAATAGATGTAAGTGACATAATCTCCGCCTAGTCAGTATTGACCATCCTTTACAGCATTCCAGTTTGGATGTGAGCCTCCCTCCCCGATTGGGGAGTGGCAACCAGAGCTCATTAGGGTACCGCAACCTGCCCCTCCTGTTGCCTCCTCGCCGCCTGCTATCGCAGATGTGGCACCAGGACCATCCATGCCTCGTGCATTGCCCCTCACTGGCAGGCATCTGGAATGGCCCACACTGAAATCTTTGGTTGGTGATGCCGAACGTGTGGCAATTGATATTCTGAATCACCTTGGAGGAGAAGAATGTAAGTATTTTAATACTTGAGACAGCACGGCGCATGCTAACATGTCAGTTAGTTGATCATCTGGCACAGATGATGGTCGGCGGCGCCTTGGGTCCAGGGGATGATGTCCAGGATCCCAAGCCTGATGAAGTCTTGGAGAGCAATAGGGTGATGCTCATGGCATTCTGTGAAAGCAGAGACCGGCTAACTAGGATCTTCAAAGATCTAATTAGCCTGCATCACCTTGCACAGGTGCATGAACGGGTTCTTCCCACAGTGGAATCCTTGTTACATGAAGTTGACCGGGCAGAGGCTGAGTCCGGCGAAAAAATGTAGTTAATACTTGTAATTTCCGCCTCCCTTTGATTGTACAATACCATGCTTGATAAAACAGCTGCTACTCTGCTTTGGCTTCTGCAGACGTCTTTTCTTTTTGAATATTGGCTCTGCAAATATATAGTTGGGCTCAACTGTTGTCTGCAGGGTAGATGTTTATCGGTGGCGGATGATGCAGGGTGACCGGCCACACCATGTGCACTCATTGCGGTGGTGCTTGCGCCGAGACCTTCCTTTCGGTGATCACCGGCTCGGCAAACCTGCGGTGCAGGCGTCTACAGGATGACTCATATAATATTAGTCCTCTCCCAGCGACACATGTGCATTTATTTCGGCGGTGCCTGCACTGACCGGCTCTACCCATATAGTCAGCCTGGTGTACAGATTTAAATACAACCGCTATTTCTATTGAACATCGGTGACTAGTGACCAGTACTTAAAATAGTCCGCTTGTGGGATATCCGCAAACTCGTGAACATCATCCCTCATGTACCAGACCCAGGCTGTTCGGTCGCCGTCTGCCATATCCAATCCATGTCTAATAATTCATCCTGATCCGGCGATCATAGAACCTGCCGGGTAGACACTTTCAATGCCTAAATTTGGCATCTTCATCCTTGCTACTCCATAATTGCCGAAGGTGGTCATGACGTCAAACCATTGGGGACGTGACAGCGGATCACGGTGCATCAGCAAACGCCGGTTGCATACGATAGCGAGTGCGGTGAATACGGATGCCCACTCTCTGAGACGATCTCCCATTTTGTCCAATTTCTTGTCAGCTGCCCAGAGACCCAAGGCTATCTTCGTTGCCAATGATGACCAATAGAGGTTAGGGTGCATGACTCTCAATGCAGCGGCGATGAGCGCCGCCGGTCTCTGCATTGCCTGACAGAAAGACTGTCCGTCAAACAGTTTAAGAGTCGCTGAGACATGCGGATGAAATTTTGGTGCCTATGAGAGTGAAAATGGATGCCGCTAATTATGAGGTGTGACTCACTGGGTGACCTTGCAAAAACCATGCTGGGGACAGATTGATACAACCCAGAGTACCGCCACATTGACTTGGATAAAAGTTTGAAGAATGGGTCCTCCATTGATTATTCGTGGCGGCGCCGCTTGTCACACTTCTAGCCAGTGGAACTGACATTATTGCAGTAGCCGCCGCCATGTCATTCTAACACAGTCAATATAAAGATTTGGCAATTACGGACAGCTTACTTGTATCACCAGATCAATTGCGCCCGGAAGATACCAGAGGACGATGATACTGAACTTGTCACACACAACTGTCGGCCGATCAAGATGGATCTGGCTGTCAGGTGGATACCGGGAAAGAAGGCTGTCCTTGCGAGCAGGGTTGATGCCTTTTTCCATCATCTGCAGAACATCTGCATACCTGGCTACATCTAAGTTGATAGTAACTCATATTGATGGGATTTAAGATCACATAAGGCGCCGCCGAAAGAGTCATACCAGGGTTCCGATAGGCATCGGCGAGGGTACTAGCCAGTTTTGAGCATGCCACAAGCATGACAAAATCTAGTTCGAGTGGGGGAATAGCATTGGGCCATCCGCCGATCAGTGCAAGGAACTGGCGAGAGACATATTCACTAGCAATATGGGTTGTGGCCAAGGCCCAGTCAGGAGGAATATGAATCATGGCTTCCATATAACGTACTAGGCATTGTAATTATATATGTCTGGCAGCAAACCGGTTACATAAGTCTGGCGGCACACCGGTTACATAAAATACACGAAGAGTGACTGCCATATTGACTAACAACATTGATAACATGAGGATCGACATAAGGAGGCATGCATACTGCGCATTGTCTTGACCTAATTCCCCATATGTAATGAAATCGGCGAAATGTGAAGGGGACCAGTGGTCATCCTGTAGATGCATGCACCGCAGGTTTGCTGAGCTGGTGTTCGACAAGGTCACGGCGCAAGCACCGCCGCAATTAGTGCACGGTGTTGCCGGCAACTTTATATTTGTAAATTTGCAGAGCCGGTATTCAACAACGAAAAGGTGTCTGTGGCCAAAGCAGAGTAGCAGCTGTTTAACACCATTTAACATACCTCACCAGGTGATTCCTCGCCACATATTCATGCATGGGTCAGCTGCCGCCGGTGACAATCCATACCCTGCGGTATTATGTTCGGTAGTGCCACAGGCCTTATACTATGTCACTGGCATGCATGCATAGTGAGGTATTCTATGGAAGCATGAGGCAATCACCCCCGGTGACAATTACCCTGGAGCATTATGTTCAGCAGTGCCACAGCTGCCCCCTGCGGTGATCCCGAAATATGCAAAACTGTTGGCGAGTGTATATGGGCCCACCCCTCACCATCAAGTAGCACCTACCAGACATAGCCTATGCATCATAATACCAATATCCTATATATTTTTGTATTCCATAATGTATATACAGTGGGCCCACCCTTGAGCCTCAGTTATTTCTAGCCTCTGGCCCACCTGCTATACTGGGGTACAATCCCATATGTGGGCCCATGGTGGGTTGGCCTGAGTCTTAGGGAGCATTGTCAACATGGGCTGTCCTATAAGTAGGGAGATATGTCACTGCATTATGTGCTCAGCTTGAAGCTGGGTTCTAATCTGCTTATCTACATGAGTCAGAGATAGTGTCCACGAGGCTTGCCTTCTATCTTGATAACATAAATAGGTCTTCTAGACCTATGTCGTCATGTGTCATCATATGCGGTCCAGACCGCTTATCTAAGCTGGCAGTTGCTGCTTATCTTCTATCATCATCTATCGTCATAGGGCTGGTGAGACCCTGGTATCGTCTATAGCCGTGCGGTGGCAGAGGGCTGTTACAGTCACCTGTAACACCTACACCAGCCCCCGCTCTGCTAGACTCTCAATGCGGCGGTGTGCCGCCCGCACTCAGAAAGACAGCGGTCTGGACCGCTGTGACACCGCCCCTGGCCTAGACGGCCTTGTACCTGATCCATGGAGGCTGTACGCCTCATGGTCACCCTAGATCAGCGCATGTATACCTCATGCCGCTTCATGAAGATCCGGAGCGCCCTTGGCGCCTCATGTACTTATGCACAGTCGTGCTGCATGCTTGATCAGAGGTTAAGCCTCATGTACCTTATCTGACCCTCATGTCTCGTTATCATGGATCCTAGATATACTATTGATTACAGACTGAGCTTGAACACTTACATGTAGCACATATAAGTAGACAGATTATTGTACTTAGACTTTACTTTAATCTACTTGGTCCAACCCAGAAACTTGTTCAACTAAGTCTCCCAACTTAGTTGTCTAGACCGCACTTCTAAGTCGCTCCCCGTGCCTTAGCCGTATCCGCTAGCCCTGTATCTCAACGAGCGCCATCTTACCGAGATCACCGGAGGAACCCTTGACGTTCCGTCAAGTCGCCGAACACCCTCAACCTCGGTGGGCTCACTCGAGCCGTCATTGAGAAGACCTATCCAAGTTCGCACACGCCAACCGACGGTCAGCATAACAAGGGCTGGCTGGTGGCAGGGGACTCATGCCATGTTACTGTAACATTACCCCATTACTACCGTCAAAGTCACCAACTTTGATTATCCTTTGTTCTTAGCTTCAGCTTCCATCGTCATGGGTGGTACAGGTATTGTAGACGTGGAGACGGCTGGTACAGAGGGAGTTTCTGGTGAGGGCAGTGCTGGATGTCTAAGCGTGAGGTCTGCGAGCGCTTTATGGTTGTGCTCCCAGTCTAAGAGAGCTTCGAAAAACTTATCTTCATCTCTAAACTCTTGGAGCATGATGCGTCCATTGAGTAGAGGGCAGTGGACTGACAGATGGTCAGGTCCAAGTTCATCGCAGATGCAACAAACATAATCTGGACACTTTCTAAAAGTGTGTCCGTATCCTCCACAACACTTGCAGAGCGTGGTACGGGTACAATTTATGGTGGCTGCCTTTCATTTCAGCATGCGCGCCGGTCTGGATCTTTCTTCATCAGGAGGCCTTGCCTCAACTGTTCTGACAGCTTGGTTCACAATGTCAGGGAAGTCAAGAGGAAGGAGGTGAAGCGCAAGTACGTGAATCCTTTTCTGTAGATGAAGCACGGCAAGTTTCTTTGTGCCTTCATCGAGGTCATCACAATTGGCTACGTCTTCTAGCAGCTTCATGGTACGAATAATGCAGACAGCAAGGGATGTCCCTGCACTGAGTCTGGCGTCTTGCTCACCAAGGATGTCGTCGATCACTTGGGAGTACATGGGGGTGAGAATAGCGATTTCGCTGAATGCATTGTTCTCTATCGTTCTGAGGATGTGGCTGTAGTCGGAGTCCTTCAGTGCAATGTTGATAGTTTCTTCTTCAGTAGAGGTCGTCATGATGTTGGGAGGTTCTGGGGAAGATGTTCTTGGGATAGACGTTATATAGTTTTCCAGATCGTTCCAAGCTCCGCTTTATTTCTTGACTTATCTTTTGTTGATTCTTCTATTGTTATCTTGTCTTGCCATGAGGCAGAGATCTTCTCATTATCGGGACACGAGGTGTGGTTCCTTCACTATCAGAGGGAAAGTGCCGTGATAGGTACGATCTTCCTTTATCCTTTGCTTTATCAGGAATCAAGGTTCATTTATCATCATCAGAGGGTGGTAATCATTGCCATGATGGTACAGTCTTCGATCTTTTGTTGATCAGAGTCGAAGTTCATTCTAGAGGGTTCCGAGGGCTTGCAGGAGTTTCCAAGGAGTTCGTCTCGTGATAGTTTAGCCTCATTCCAGAGGATCATGGATAAGAGATCCGTGGGCTTGCAGGAGTTTCTGAGGGGTTCGTCTTGTGAGGAGGGTTCTTCTTAATCTTTTGTTGAATATAATCTTCATAGATTGTCGAAGGATCGTGGATAGGGGTGCCCGAAGCTTGCATGAGTTTTCCAGGGTTCGTCCTTTCTCCTAGTTTTACGTCATCTCAGACAATCGTAGTTTTACATCTTTCTAGGATGATCGTGCAGTTTAGCCTCGTGCTGGAGGTTCTTAGTTTTAGGTCATTTCGGACCATCCATAGTTTACCCTCTTTGTGGAGCTAGGTATGAAGTAGGTCATCGAGGGTTGTAGAGAAGTAGTTGGGAAATGGTATCATGGGTGGGGGTATCATGCGATGAGAATAAATCAGGGATTTTACCCCCTCAATAAGCCGTTTAGTCTACCATGACTAATCTTCATTCATTAAAAGTCTAGGCCGTCATCTGGGCCTTCGTCCTCAATGTTGTTTCCTTCAGTATCGACCATGCGCCAGAAGTGCATTGATGGTCCTTCTGAATCCAACCATATTCTTTCAACGGGATTGGAAGCAGGGTTAAGCACGTTAAGTGCCCGTGGTTCAGAAGCAGGTGTGGGTGTCATTGCTCCATTGCTTTGTTCTTCATCATCAGATTCCATATCAGTAAACTGGATAAAACTGGGTCCAGTTTCTTCTTCTTCCTTCATAAGGCAAGCAAATTCTTCCGGATCATTTTCCTTCAGGTTCTTCAGGTGGTGAGCCTCGTTTATAAGGCGAACATGTTCTAGGAACATGTCGAAGTCTGAGTCTGATGACTGTGTGGATTCCTGGTATTGCGTCATTGCATCGAGATTATCTGTGGGAGACTCCGCGGAAGGTTGAGAGAGGTTAAGGGAATTCAGGACGAGGTTTTCATCAGCTGCGTCGGTATCATCAGCCAGACTTTTGTAAAACCTGAGTTTCTTGGCTTCAGGTGGTTCTGCTGTTGACATGGCTCTTCCCTTTCTGAGAACGGATATTGGTTCTCCGGAAAATTTGAATCTAGGGTTCGTCTGAGTTTTCTCTGGTTCAGGGGCCAGTCTGGGTGCCTCTGCGATAGGCGGTTCTTCTGTCATAATTGCATGTCCTTTTCCGAGGACTTGCGCGGGCTCCACCAAGAATTCATATTGTGCGGGTGCGGGGGTTTCTTCTTTCATTGGCTGAATAGCCAGTACGATCTTCTTTTCCAACAGCTGAAAAGCCTGTCCAATCTTCTTTTCATAGCTTTCAGGGATGATGTAATCTGTTATCATGGTGGGTCTAGAGACCTTCTTCTGAGTTATTTCCGGATCAGTGGCCGGTCTTTTCTGTTCGAATCGTCGTGCTGCGAGGTCGATACGAGGCAGCGAGTCTTTTCTTTCGATCGTCGTTGATCGTGGAGTGGGAGTTGGGAGTTTCATGGATGGCTAGTTTCTGTTCTGCGGTTCTTCAGGAACCGGTACGATCAGTGTTGTTGGTGCCAAGCTTATAGAGGCGAGCCTTCTAGAGAAGGCGCAAGGAGTGTTCAGGGAAACAGACTGTTTCCTTTTCTTCTGGGCGCCCTTCTTTTCTTCTTTCTGAAAGAGAGGTGTCTTGCCATTCTTCTTTCTGTCAGAGTCTATCTCTTTTTCCTTCTTTCGGGAGTCTACAGTGCTCTTCAGAGTCACTGTGCCATTTGTCCAATTGATGGTGGGGTTGTGGCTGATAAGCCATGGTTGTCCAAGCAGGAGCTTATCTTTTGGAGTAAGCTCGGCGAGGTAGAACCGTTCAGTGCATACCTGTTCGTTAATTTGGAAGGAGAGAGTGCTATACCTCTCTATCGGCTTCTTTCCAAAGCTGGATCCATCAGCATTAGAGAGCGTTAATGGCTTCTCTAGCTGGTGCGA